GTAGGGTAGGGTAGGGTAGGGTAGGGTAGGGTAAAGTAAAGTAGAGTAAAGTAAAGTAAAGGGAAGTGAAGTGAAATAAGTCAACAGCATCAAACTTGTAACAAACTTAAAAAAGATATCGAGGATGTAGTAGAAGAAGAAGAAGAAGAAGAGATGGTGAAAGGGAACAGACAGCAGTACGTCGGCAGAGGCGTAGGCAAAGAGCGGGTGGAACTTTGGAAACACTTATGATACGCGGGGCAGGACGGAAGCTGCAGGCACTATCCAAGATGTGCCGTTGTCCCAAGGGCTGTGCGTCGAATGGTTCGAGGGAGGCGAGGATCTCATGATCCTTGGGTACCGAACCACAGAACTTCGACCAAACTAGGGATCTGGCCCCGACTTGTGATTCCCAGCTGTGGCTCTAATCCATCTAAGTTGCTGGATCATTGCCGTTGTTGGCTGTTGTTGGTGGCGGATCATCTGGGATTATTGTCATATTTCCCAGCTTCTTTTTCATGTAGATCTGCATCTGCATCTGCATCTGCATGTTGGCTCAAAGATGCGGATAACTCTTACCATTTCATATAAATGCAAACTATAGTCTAGTACTGTACCAGCAGTCAATTGTTATTCTTTTCATCCCAAGAAAATGCACTCGTCGTCCCCCTTTTTTTCTTGCAACTTGGACCATTCTGTCGTTGAAACTACCCTTGTATACATGAAACACGCTACTGACCAGCTGCATCACATCACCTTTGCCAGATAATAAATAATAATGTAACTATTCGAGCTTCCGGATTCATTATCGTCACTCTTCACTCAGCACCCAACACCCAACACTTACCTCTCTACTCAGCACCGGTAGTCTTATCTAATATCCAACACGTACACATACAGCACAGCAGAACAGTATGCAAATCCAATCCAATCCAATCCTTCCTTCCACGCGCACGCCCTCTTCCCAGGCCCCTCCCCTCCAAACCTCAGCCTCCCTCGCAATCCTCTATCTGCAAACAGCTCGCTCGCCACGCATAGCCACGTGCGTCCTAGATAGCGGTAACAACTCACAGGAAGGATCATACAGTACTCCGTACAGTACCTAGGTATCTAACGCGAGACGTGATGTATAAATAGCTCTACTCCGCTCTACTTTAAATCCTTCAAAATCCTACCGCCCGGCACAGTACAGTACTGTACCAACAGTCGAGTGAGTTGCATTACATTAGGTAGGTATACAGGTATCACTAGGATATCCCATACCATTTCCATTCTCGGATTCGCTCGCAACTCGGCGTATCCGTGAATGAATGAATGATTAATTAATTGTATTCAATTCGTAGACCAACCACTCACTCACTCACTCACTGAATCCCAACCCGATATCCAACCTCCCACAGCAGTGTCAGCACCGTTATGTTATCTGATTCTGTACCACATCCAGTTCTCAAGTCCTTACAATACACAACATCCCCTTCCCTTCCCTCCCCTCCGTCGCATCCGCACCTGCGCGCCCGCCCACTTCTCGAGTCCTAGTTGCACGACCGCCGGGTAAGTGAGTGCCCGCGACAATGACTTGACCGAATGTTTCAAGCCACCCGATCAAAGCTGCACGTTGCCTTATTACTGAGGAATAGGATGGGATGGGATAAGCATAGCATCGTAGGACGATCAGATCAGACAAATGATCATCAGCATGTGAGATGGGATGATAGATAACCCTTCTATTCGCGCGCGTTTGGAGCGAAATGCTACTGGTTTACAAATATAGACAGACAATCTCTTAGGCGCCTAGGTATTAAATATATATCACATCGCTACATCAGCAAATACATTTAGTAAAATGCTTCTTATCAACTTCCATTGACTTTTCATCATGCATGCATGACGCATCTATTTTCTCTTTCCCTTTCCCCCTTCCATTCTTCTTCCATGGTATCAAACAATAAGTACAGTAATACGTCTTCTTTCCATCCTTCCATCTATCCCCAACAAAGAGAACGCCAATACCCTGAGGTACATTACAATGTGAGCTGCGAGCCGACATTCTCAATTCAAAATGCAAGGTAAAAACAAAGAAGAAAAGACGAGGGGCTCAGTCACACAGAAAATAGAAGGTGTGTGGGGGTATAAGAGAAAAAGACCCAAACGCCTTGCAGTGAGTGTATCCCACCCACGGCTCATCAAGAGCCCACATTACTAGAAAGAGTCACTCCACATCCGCATTTAATACTATCCATCTTCCATCTATTGGACGTCCGAAACCAGCACAGCGTTCTCGCCAGGCAGAGGCAGCGAGCTCTTGAGATCCATAGCCTCAACCGTAGTATCGCGCTTCCGATCACTGGGAAGACGAACACTGCCTTTGACACTCTTGACCAACTGTCCACTCTCGACACGGTCCTGGATCATCTCATCGAGCATCTTGCTCATTTCATCCACGCTCTTTGTACGCTTGCGGATCTTCGGTGAGAGGAGGTCTAGGGTCTCCGTAGTCAACCGGGGAGAAGTAGGCCCATCAAGCAATTGTGATGTGCGAGTAGAGGCTGGAGTCAGTGGCCCGTTCTCTAGCAGCTGTAACGATGGCGTTGACGCTGTTCGCTCCGCAGTATCGCGCGCGCGAGCCATGCTTCGCAGGGCTGTCAACATGCGGTCCTTGTCGTCAATTTGAGCGCGAAGCTCTTCAATCACGGCATCCTTCTCTTTAAGAATTGCCGCCACATTATGATCCTCGCCTACCATTACACTTGACTTGCCCGGGTTCGAGAACCCGACTGATGTTCTCGAGTGACTCGAACGTCTGGCCTGGAGCAGGCGCTTCTCCAAGGTTTGACAGTATCGATTCTTGTCTGCCAAGTCCGCTTGAAGAGCTCGATTTTGGGCCGCCAGAGAAGCAGTCCCATCACCATATTCGCCCGTTGAGTCCTCATCGTCCAATGATCCATGGTCAGCTTCTGATTTTCGTCGCCCGGGGAGTTGCCCAACAGTTGATACCGAATTTACGGACGAGCTTCGATCGAGCGAGTTCCGACCTATCGTAGAGGGTGCCAGGGAGGGTACTAAGGACGACCGACCGGACATGGTGGTTGTAGTCATTGTCGAGAGTCTTGGGTTCATACCCAGCGAAGAGTACGAGCCACTGGCGTTAACACCGGTCGACTTGGAGCTCAATATAAGACGATTCAGGTGTTCAATTCTCTCCTTCAACGCTGTTCGAGCCAGTTGCATTTCTAGCATTTGCTCTTCATGACGTAGTTCAGCTTCCTTTTCACGCTTTTCTTCATCGTCGTCATGCTTTGCCGTTGTTTGTCCTTGAAGCTGGCTACGCAGGTCCAAGATTTCCATCCGATATCTTTCCAAAAGGACCCTGGCCCCGCCATCGCCACCTGCACCTAAGGCCTCCTCTGCCTTCTTCGCATGACTGACGATGTTGTTCTTCGCTCTGGAAGCGAACTTCAAGGTATTCAGAGTCTCACCAGTGTGGCTGTTTGCTGCTGCTGCGCTACCAGTTGACCCAGTCTGAATGGTGCAAAGAATACTGACGAGAGAATCTCCCGAAAGGGCCCCTTGCAGTAATCTGGTAAGTTTGCTGTCTCTATAGGGAAGATGCCTTCCATCCTTATCAGTTGGCTTCCCATCTACGTCCTTATCATTCGAGAGGCGAGCAATGACGGTACCAAGAGTCAGTAAACTCTTGTTGATATGAGAACCTTCGGTTCTTCGCTCCTTTGTTTCGGCGGCACGTTCAGAACCGGCCAAATCGATCAAGCTAAGAGTCGAAACTCGAACACCACCAGGCACCATTCCTGACCGCTTATTGTCACTCATAGCTCCATTTCCAGGAATACGCTCTCGGCTTTCTACCACAATCTGAACGACTGCGTGGCTTCGAGAGCTCCTTGCGTTGAATTGCGTACTTGAGGTTCTCCTTGCATTGTCGCCCCTAGCGATCACCCTCAAAAGCTGCGTCGGGCTCTGCACGATCTCCTCCTTCAACGGACTTGCATAAACACCTCGCTTGCTATCTTCCCGAAGTTTGATCTCTTCTTGTTGGGGGGCGCCAGGACCGTTCGCCGCAGCAACTGGGGCGCTCAACAGATCATGAATCTTCTCATTGTAAATCTCCAAGTAACTGACTCGAAGGAGGAACTCTCGTAAAGGAGTTTCGCGGATGTATGAGAATATGTCCGTAATCGCAAGAGGTATGACACCTGGTGATGTCGCAGTGCCTTGCATAGAGAATGTTTTGCCCGTTCCGGTCATTCCGTAAGCAAATACCGTCCCGTGATATCCTTCCATTACCCGTCGGACGAGCCTCTTCGCGGAAGAGTCGTAAACCTTAGCATTATTATCGTGAGTAGCAAAAACATTATCTAAACGATATTAGCAACTATATATATAACGGAAAAGCGCGAATACTTGCCGTAATGGTAGTCTCCTCCTTCCTTTCCTCGATATGACACCATTTTCTTCCTTCCATCGACTACCCAGTCTCCATCACCTTTATTTCTGTCGTTTGCATCTGGGCGCACCCGAACGCTAACAATTACATTACCCTTACCCTCCGTAGGTTTCGATGATCCTTTGTCACCCGTAGTTTCCGCAGAAGCTTCTCGACCGCGAGGACCATCCCCAGTATCTTCAAATGTTGTTGCTGATGTCGAGTACGAATCCTGCGCTGACGAACTTCGGCTCTGAGGTGGCGATGGAAGGCTTAATAAACCATCTGATCCGCGGGCTCCTGGTCCGCTGGAAATTGACCGACTGTCGCCGCTGCCATTTAGAAGGCTCGGTGTGGCGCTATTGACATAACTTTGTGAAACTGTGCCACTCCCAGTTTTGGGGCGTTTTCGGACCTTGCTACTAGGTGTGGTTGGACTGGTATTGATAGATTCCCTCCTACTTGCGACTCCATTTGATGTGTTTCCTGGAACAGCGCCGCCAGATAACGGGCTAGGTGGTAGACTAGACGTTCTAACACCTCCTCGAGGCGGTTGCGGGAAGTTATTAATGCTGATTGTCTTTCTGATGGTTTTCCCAGCCCCATTGACACCCGGGGCCTGCCGTAATTTGTTAACAGTCGTGCCAGTACTTGAGCCTGCAGTGTTTGGTGTTGGCTGTGGGAGCCCAGCGGCTGAAGGAGCTCGCAATGAAGATTTTGGGAGTTGTGAATGAGATCCGTCGACATTACTGAGTTCCGATCGTGTGGGGATGTTGCCGATACTTTTGCGGCTCTTAATAGTCGGTAGTGCTGGTAAAGCGCTTGTAGGTGGTCCATATGATGGCCTCGAAGGTCTAGGAATCGAGGCTGCCATGGCGATCAAAGGTCGCCTGAAGATCAACTTTGTGGGGATGAAGACTAAACGGTGATATAATGGCCGCCCGCGGGATACTCTCTACCAAGATGTGGTGTCCATGAAACTAGGGCGCCGAGCTCGAAAATGTTTAAATTCGGCGGCCCGAGATAGAAAAACAAGTAACACGGTACAGCTCCGGCTTTGGCCAAGAACTTGTCCAATTAAGCGTTGAAAGTCCTCTGGTGATACTGGCTGCAATGTGGAATTTCCGCTTTACAGGAAAATGTGAAACGTGATAACATGCAAGTCAATATGCCTGAGCAAAAGACCGGATATTTTGCCTAGTAAAGCTTGTCAGTGCGCTTTTCCTTAAAACTCGCCGCATGAATTCAATTGCCCCAGCAAAATGGGACAATCAAATCACTTGTCACCATAAAGAAATGGTTTGATGAAGACACAGTCCCCATGAGTGAAGTTCCCCGGGAATGATGAGATGTCAACTTACCAGCAAAACTCGAATGGCACAATGTCCTCGTAGTAGGGTCAGATCGCCTTCTGTGTGTCGTCGAACATGTGCTATGTGGATTTCCTGATATGCGCGTTGCCGAAATCGCAAGCCTCACTCTGTGAACTCCGCAGAGATCCTAGGATGAGTAATGTCTAGTTGGACTGTTGCGACAACGAAACGAGAATCGTCCGACTATCCGAAAGACCCTTGTATCGACGTACCGGCAGCACCGTTAGACAGTCCGGCAAGGTGTGTAATGCGTAGTTATATTCGATCCAATGCGTCGGCAAGGTTGCCGAAACTCTCAAAACTCCCAATAATCTGCTGTGAAATTTTGATGTTGGGCTTGTCGTTGGTTGAAGCGAATAATAAACTAATCAATGTTTCATGCCGTCGCGTGTCGTGGAGTACGGATTGACTTGGTACCTTGTCCTGCTATCGTCAAGGTGGTACCTGCAATCTTGAAGCTTCCGTTGAAGAGACTTGCAGAGCTGTTACTGTTTCGAAGGGGTTTGCAGTTTCGGACAATAGATTATATCTTCGTTCCAGGCGATGTACGATCCGATCTACCTTGGACAGTGTTCCACTCAATATAGACCTTCGAGTTCGACTTCGATGCGATGCGATGCGGTAGGGTGCGGTGACAAGAGGATCTTGCAGTAGGGTTGTGTCACGGCGCGCAACCCGTCGACTGGCGAGATTTGTGAGAGACTCGAGAGAGATACAGAGGACACGGGAGACGGTTGGGTGTCAAGTCGCGAGAAAGCCCTTAGAAAATATTGGGCAAGAAGTGAATGAATATGAGCGACGTGATGCTTTCGTGATGAGAAGGAAAAAGAGGGTGCAGCAGCAGCTGCAGTTCGGATGCACAATCCCTGAACGCGGGTTGCAGTCCCAGTGGTGGTGGGATTGGGATGGCCCGTGAAGTGGCCGTGGTGTGTGTGCTGACTTTGACTTTGAGTGGGGGAAGACGCCTCTCGAGCCGCTGAAGTGGAGGGGAACTTTGGTAAAGGGATGGAGATGTCTAATATATAATATTAATTGGTTGCACAGTACAGCACATACATACATATAAACCTACAGAAGATGTCTTCACCACCCCCTCTCTAAGCAGCACAGTCGAGTTAAGTCAAAGTCAAGTCAGGAGGTTTCTTAGTCCACCTTTGGGTTAAAAAGGGGCATGGTTAGAAAGCCGTCAGGAAGCTATCCAGGAAATGATTCCGAATTGAGACAAGCACTGGTTCCTTATCTGGAAACGGATGGAAATTGCAACGGGGAAAGTCAACCAGAGGATGGGAAGAAGGACCAGTGGACCACAGACTGCCGTTTCTTCCCCTGATAATAGTAGACACAGTACCGTAGTGAGTTGGACCCTTGAGGAGAGAAGCAAGCCCTCCCCGCGAGCGCCGTTTATCAACTCGCCCATCGATTTGTCGATTTGTACTGGTCCGTGGCGTTCCTGCATAATGCTCCCCCCCTGTAGCTAGACCTACCTCCGTATACCACAGCATTGACAAGCATCCTTCAAGTGGTATAGCACAATCAACGAGGTAGCATTTTGCCACTTTATAATTTATCTCTACAATATGGTGGCGGCCCGACAGGAGCTGTATTCGAGTATGTGCTGCTGCAGCAATTAAATCGCAGTTACTCCAGCAGCTCAACGGTCCTTGCTGACCATAGGCCCACAGACCCTGCGCTTCGGGACGAGGACCATGGGCTTGCTGACCTTGCTGTCCTGTCACGGTAAAGGCACGGCTCGTTGACGAACAGGAGCTTCTGCAAGGAACCATTGGACACAGAGACACGCAGGGGCCGTGTCTTGGGACTTGCTCGTGATCTCAGATATGCTTTCTTCGTACCTGTAGCTGTGTTGATCTCCGACAATCCTTCGTCATGGCCTGATTTCGATCATCTAATCTCCAATTTGTTCCACTGTGGGTAAGAGACTTGTCAAAATGGCCTTTGGTAACGTCTATGACAATCTAAAAAGGCTTGAGGAAGTCTTTTATATGTGAGCAAGTCCCTCCGCAGGATCCGAACTTCTCAAGCTCTTGATATGGAACATCCCTAACTTTTCTTTTTGTGCACAACCCCACGTTTTCCGGCGACAATTCCGAACCGTGCTGCATGAACAAGAGGTCCGGGAGCAAGAATTGCTTTTTATGATAATTGACAGCAAGGTCCTCAATATCAAAATTCCTTATTTGGTTGTCACTTTTGCTCTTTCTAGCAATGTTTTAATATGTATTCATTCCGGGTATCTATAGTTTGTTTTCCCTCTAATACTCCTTTGAATGCTGTATCATACCCTTTAAGATAGTACTTATAATGCTCGAACACCCCTGCCTACGCTCCCAGTGTCAAAGACTTCAACAAGTCCAGCTCCAACACATTCGCCAAGTATCCACTCATATGTTGCTCCATAAAACAGCTTCCACTTCCTTGTTCGCCCAGGTGATACGCCTGCAAACTCCCCCCTATTTCTTCTCGCCTCACTAGCAGCATCGTCTGCAGCGATACCGCCATCCCATCGTTGCCGGAGTAAGTGTTCAGGTGCCTCCCGATATCTCGATTTAGACAATAACGAAAGGAAATGCGCTCGAGCGTTGGCAACCAGCTTGAGGAAAGGCCCCGTAGTAGGAATCGCCAACGAGAAATCCACAACCCCCGAAAGTGACTTTGCACCTCCCCCACTACCCCCCGCAGCATGAACAGCGCCATCCCCACCAACGGCAGCCATCGACCCCGACGCAGCTCTTGAAATACTCTTAATCGAAGTCATAGTCCCTCTCGATCCTTCTGCCGGTCTAGAGAATGCATCCGTAGTCGTCCAGGAAGCCGTAGCCGAAGTCAAGAAACCAACACGCATTAAAGCCTTCGCATCCTCACCCGCAAACATGCCCCTCTCAAACTTCACCGCCGTAGGATTTTCTTTCAACACGCCCAGAAACTTCTCCTTGACGTTATCCTCCATCGCACTCCTCCCAACCATCTCCTCCAAATCCCGAACCAACATCAACACCTCCCCCGTATTCCCCCTGCCCCCCACAACAATTTTCCGAATCGCCCCTCCCCGTACCAGCTCCGCAATCTCCTTCTCCACTGCCGTCGCCGAGTTCAATAAAGCCTGTAAATGCGAGACCGTGACAAGGGGCGGCAGGGCAAGGCGGAAGTTCAAAACCTCTGCTATACGCTCGGAATTCATGCCAGTCCGTTGCTCGGGCATCGGAGCCCACATTTTGCCTCGGATATATAATATTGCTTGGGGTACATCGCGGAGGGTGAGATCAGTGGATAAGGCTTGTATGAGGCCGATATCGTCAAGACGTTCAGAGGAAAGGAAGTCTTCTTCTTCTTCGAGCCGAGAGGTGGAGGCGGAGGATTTCAAGCGGGGGATGGATTTACTGCGGCCGAGGGAGGAGTATGGGTTTGTGCCGGATGATGAGCGTTTGAAGGCGGCTGGTTTGGAGCGCTTCTTTATGCCGCTTGTGTGTGCGGCTGAGCGTTTGAAACTCATGGCTGCTTGTTGAAAGAGAAATGTTGTTGAAGGTATAGTAATAGTCTTCAGATGAGAGGAATGACTCCTTATCGCTTATCTGCGCACGGGCTAGGTTAGAATGCAGCGCAGCCTTGCGTTCAGCCTCGAACTAGATCCCCAGGAATTTCAACAAGCACATTACCACCTGCAATTTTTGAAAATATAGTGTCTTACCTAATAAGTACCTATACTACTCCTTTTGACTTCTGTTTCTGCCATTTTATCTTGAATTTGCTAGAAATATCAAAATCAAACGTACGAACAGTACAGCCTCACCCCTCTATGTAGACCCCTCCCTTAGGCTTCCAATTGACCTGCTTCGACGAAACTCGCCCTGTCTCATTCAACGTACTAAAATAATCTTTTAAACACAGTTTCGTTTAGACCCAGGAAGACCAGGAAACCTCTCAACTGCCTACGTCAATATATTCAATTTATGGGGTTTGCAGGGCAGGCAGCCTAGCCGCATTTGTAAGCTTCACCGCTAGCTAGCCTGTAAACATATTCCTGGACGTTCGCAAGACATACATACATACATCCAGAAAAACAAAGAAAAAATCACCTCTGAAATAGGGAGCCAGACTAAAAGGCTATCAGCTCACCACAACACCCCAGGCCCAAACTTGCTTTCCTATATCAAGCCACCTTCCCCTCAAGGGAAGTCTAAAATATGGCTCCCACAGTCATTCTCATCAGACATGCTCAAGCACTTCATAGTCAGTATCTACCCCAAGAATCGCCAAGATAAAAACTGACGCACTATAAGATGTCGCTCATAAGTCCCCTCACCATTATACACAAATACCAAAGCTAACATGCCTCACACGACTATACCCTTCATGACCCACCTGTAAGTGGATTCCCCGAGTTTTTTTTATATCTATTTCTTTAAACACGTTAGGTAGTTCATTCGAATTTCACGAGAGAGAGCTCTGAAATATCCAAATTCTTCCAATCTTTTTTTCTTCAATCAAGCAAAACGACACTAATCCCCAACCCTCATAGCTCACCGACCTAGGCTTCAATGAACAATGCCAAACCCTCTCCCGGCACCTACGCCAAAACGTCCCCCTCGCCCAAACCATAGACCTAATCGTCGTCTCCCCCATGATCCGCACCCTCCAAACAGCACAACAAAGTCTCGGCTGGCTAATCGAGCGCGGCGTGCCCGTGATCCTGCGTCCGGAATGGCAAGAAAACTCAGCCAAGCCCTGCGACACAGGGACCGCGATACCGATCATGGAGGCCGCATGGCCGCAATTCAACTGGGCGGATGTCGATCCCCTGTTTCCGAAAAAGGAAGGCTTGTATGAGTATTCGCAAAATGGGTTGACGCGGAGGGGTATCGAGGCGAGGAGGTGGCTGAGGGAAAGACCGGAGAAGTGTATTGCTGTTGTGAGCCATTCGGGGTTCTTGAGGGTCGGGGTTAGCTATCGGAAGTATGAGAATGCAGATTTTAGGATCTTTGGGTGGGAGGAGGGAGGGGAGTGGGATGGGGTTGGTGGGAGACTGGTGGAATGGGAGGAGACGGAGAGGAGCGGTGGGGGGGTTGGGGTTGTCGCCGAAGGGGGTCTTTGATGTTTATCCTACAGAGTATCCTAAGGAGGCTGAGGGAAGGGCTGTTGGGGAGGTTGCTCATGAGGTGCCGAAGTAGATGGGTGTAGACAAGGGGAAATGAAATGAAATGAAATGAAGTTTATATGACAGAAGAGATACTAGTCATTGTATGAGATTAACAGACTGTTGGAGCAGTGCTATTCATTGACTCAGTCTGTAAGACATTACAGTTGAATGGTGTTGTAGTACTATCTGCCAAGACGGAATTCTGCCATGAATAATGGCAGTACGGAGGTATTGTGTGTACATGAAAGTACCCGATTCAGACTCAATACCATAAAGCTTTGCCTGGTCGCTTCATCTTACCAGCAGCTTTTCCTAGAGTGTGAAAGGCTACATCTGGCTAGTTGCAGAATACATTTTTGGTTCATTTTTGATACATATATACAAATTTATATATCAGGATTATTCACGCGATGCATGAAGTCCCTTTTGAGATTATATGCTATCCTGAAATGATCGGAACTACCAAAGTCTATTTTAACCTGGAGTGTTTAGTTTCGAGGCTGAACCGATATATTTAAGGCGGTCCTGGAGTTTAGATGAGCTGAAGCTTGTTGGGACTAGGTAGTTAGCTGCCTAGAAGCTTAAAAGGGAGAGTGCGAACGAAGCGAAGAACTTTTGGTGACTTGAAGTGGCAATAAAGTTCCAAAAAACAATTTGACAGCTGAGTTGAGCCTCTCTCCACTACAAGTACAAGGCAAAGGCAGCAATTAAAACCAACCTCATCTCATGTCATTTGAAGTCGATCACGTGGTCACATTCGTCGCTCTCCACCTAGTTGTAAGATGGTGCATGACGATGACGATGACGATCCATCGGGGACACTATGCGGAGAGAACCTTAAGTTCCTGATGACTTCTGGGCGCCGGTACGACATTTGAGAAGATCAGATGTACATCTTTCCTGGACGATCCCCTGAGGCTGCCTTGGATTTTACGGAGTAAGCCCCCGCCTTGATGTGGCTTATAGAGGCTGATGCTAGGGAGGGGAGTAAGCCTGAGGGCGGATTCGAGGGAGCTGCACTAGGACTAGTTTGGCTGATGACGAGTACTTTCTTTCACCCGGAGACTGACCGTACCGTACTGATAAATCGCTGCAAGGACAAGTCGGCGTGCTTTTGCAGAGTACCTGGCCTGGGATAGATGCGCTGCGTTGAGCCACTAGTAACTAATAGTGAGGCTGTTGCTCAGAACCACAGCCAGCGTGGCGTGTCATTCGCGTGGAGGTTAAAAGGCACATTGTGGCGTCCAATACATTTTGGGAATGGACAAACCATCATACCACATTATTCTGTGAGGGAACCGGGGTCTTGGCCGCATTGAGAATATGAGAGATGTCAAGCTGCAGGCCGAGTTCGGCATCATTGATAGATGGTTACAGTATCAAGACACGACAAGACAAGACCTGATGCTTCTACTGTACTATTGACAAGTACAGTACAGTGAGAAATCAAAGGGATGATATATAAAGACAAAGAAGACCGTGAGAGGCAGACAAATCGAATAACAAAGCCCCAAGCATGCTCGTTCGGTACCCTGTCGGCACGTCAGATCTCTCCTCATCCTAGCCCGATGCGTTCGAGGCAGACCCAAAGGAGGTTGGGTGAAAACTCTGGGGGTTCTCAAAAGAGAGGGTGCATAATCTTCCAGTAATTATTAATGCGCATGGAGTATAACTTGAAGATCAATATAGATACTACAGTACCTATAAGGTAGGTAGATGTAGGTCTACCGCACTGGTGGTTTGCCAGACTCCGTATTGATTTGCTCGGTCCTGTCTCCGCTTTCTTAGGAGTATCTGTACCGAGTAGTGTAGCGTACAGTAGTGCACAAATTGAGCCACGCAAGAGGCTGTGCTCTGTAAAATCCGCCCCATCCATCCATGCCCCCATGCCTCTCCTCCGTACTGCGAGAGGCAGAGAGAGGCAAACCAACTTCAGCTGTCCCTCGTCTGCCCGCACCTGCATCTGTCAGATCTTTCACTACCACTACTTGTGCGCAAATGGAAGACAGACCCGACACCCTTCCAGCTCATTGAGGGTCGCAACTCCTACAATTTCCTCCGGTCGGTCGCTGCTTGACATTCATCAACAACAGCCCTCTTTCTGTTTCTGTATCCGAGTACTTGACTTATGTTCAAAAGTCGCCGCTCGGCAGAACCCTACCGCTGCGCGAGCCGATCCCAAGAAAACAAGGCTAGGAGCGCATTCACAGTACATTCACTTGACCTTCAAGATGTTAAATCACAGCTGGTTCTGACAAAAGATAGGGCCTTTGCGATCCGGATTGAAGCTCCTTAACTCTCAACACGCACGCTGCGATCCCGAAAGACTCGATATGCTTTTTTGAATAGCAAGGAACAGTGACTCTAGGATCACAGCGCGCGCTCACTGCATCTACTTGCCACTTCCTATATAGCGGACAGAACATTGGCGATAGAGCATCATACCTCATGGCTTCGGAGCAGGGAGGATTGTCTACCGCAGTCCCCGCCCTCAGTGCGACTCGACCAGAATCCGCCACCATCGCGGCGGTTTCCTCAACCATCACCCCGCCAGATCACGATTTGACGCGGTCAAAGTCTCTAAAACGAAATCGTCCTGATCAATCGCAGAATCCCACGGCTTTGTCCTCGATTACGAACATTGGACTAAGCACTTCCCCGTCACCGAAGTCGCCACGGTACAAGGGCGCGTTCTCCCCAATGCAGCTCACTGGGGCCGCGGCATTAGAAGACCAGCGACGACAGCAAGAGAATCAAAAGAATCAACAGCCTGAGATGAGCGTGAACCCCGGACACAAGGCTTTATCTTCGCTCATGGCAGGAGGTGGGGCCGAGATGAGCAAACCGCAAGAAGTTCCAGCTGCCATAAACAGCATGAGCGAGGGAATGTCGGCAGCTGCGAATGCAGTGCTTATACCCAGTCCGATGCAGTTTGATGAAAAGTCAGAAATAAGCCCAGCTAGTATTACAAGCCTTGCGAGTTTGGGCACCACGGCGCCAACCGCGACAGCAGGCTCAACGGTCGTTGCAAGCCCAGCTTCGCTGACAAGTGCCATTGAGGCAGAGAACCGGGACATCAGAGTTAGTAATAGCAACCATCTGCAAGCTCCGCCAGATGAGCAATCTTCGAACAAAGCGATGTCCTATCCTGTCCTTGGTCAACAAACCCTTTCTCGGGCTCCTCCACGTGGAATGAGTCTCCCAATGCCCGGTCAAACTCAACAATTAGCGCCAAGATCACCCTCACAGAAGAAACATAAATGTCCTTACTGCGAGACCGAATTCACGCGTCATCACAATCTAAAGAGCCATCTTTTGACGCATAGCCAAGAGAAACCGTATGTCTGCCAGACGTGTAGTATGAGATTCCGAAGATTGCACGATCTGAAACGTCACATGAAATTACATACTGGCGAGCGTCCTCATATTTGTCCAAAGTGTGACCGTAAATTCGCTAGAGGTGATGCTTTAGCGCGTCACAGTAAAGGACAAGGCGGTTGTGCTGGCAGAAGAGCTAGTATGGGAAGCTTTGGTGGAGATGACGACTATGAAGGCTCCAATGGAGACGGGGACGAAAGTGCTATGGATGGAGTGATGTATACGAATGGAACTACACAGCCGAATGAGTCTGAAATGACTGAAGAGGAACGCCGAACATTCAGCCTCCCTAGCATTAAAGCACAGCATGTTCGGTCAAATCAGGGTAGTGGTGACAATTACCCTGCACACCCACGAACACCAAGCACGTATCCTCCAGGTCCCAGGCAAGGTCAGTCTACAGGAGGCTTATATCCACCAAATGCAGATAGAGGAGGACCTTCTAGCTCCGGCACTTCCCCTCGAATGCAAAACAGCGGTCATGACAACCATGCTCCAAGTGGGAGTCTTTCTTCGCTGCCTCTGAACACAACAGGAAGCTCGATATTTTCACCAAGTAGCATTACTGAAAGCCCCAAGCCTCTAAGCCCATCTGGCATGCATTCGCATCAGCTTGGCCACGATCCATCGATCGGCAGGCAAAGGTCACCGAGTCTGACTACACAATTTCAACAGCAACATTTCGGGCGTCGACCGTCGGGTAGGGGATCTCCTCCAGGCGTATCACTTCCATCTCCACATACCTCGCATGTTCCGAAACTACCTGCACTTGCGAGTTTGGCACCTCCGGACCAGAGATATACGCTGTCAAGTCAGACGCCAAATCAGCAGACTTCTCCTAACGGAACCCACGGTGGTCATCAGCAGCATAATTCTGCTACCCCCCTCAATACAATGTTCCAGCTTCACAAGGCTACGTCCGAGGGGCTCCTGGCGGACCTCCTAGTGTTCAAGGGAGCGGAAGTGGCGATAGCAGTGCCAACCTCTTTGCCGCAGGTGATACACGATTATTAGCCTACGTCCAGTCACTGGAAGACAGGGTCAAACAATTGTCGGAAAAAATCCAGGTCATGGAGAGCAAAGACAGGAGTCAGGAAGATAAGATCAACCGGCTTTCCGAAGAGCTCTTCTCCCTTAGGAACCAATTCACCAGTCCCCCGCACCAACCACCCGCGGGGCAGGTTCCTCATAACATTAATATTTCATAGGATGCAAATACACGAAAGTGTTCTATGGTCAGTCATATCTTGGCGTATAGTCGTTTCTGCATGGCGTAGGGCGGCGGAAAAGTGATGTAATGATAAGACATCAAAAGTTTCTTATTCTCAATAACCTCGCATGAATCAATGACCGGTGGAAGAGGCGTTGGGGGAAAGTTTTTATACGGCAATCTTCAAAAGTACGCCATTTTAGAGCCAGTAAAGCGTTCTCTCACTTTACGGACTTCAATTCTTCGTATGTTTAAGTTCAAGGGGCGGTTTAAAATTGGGGAACAGGAATAGGCTTGGGTCTTTATGGGATGTATACTATAAGTCTTTACATACTGCTGCTGCCAGAGGCTTCTTGCTTTACCAGCTGGCAAGGCAAAACAAGACAAGGCAGCAATGGCTTCTCTGCTTAGATCCTGTCGTTAACACCACCAATTCATTCTATAATTAATTGGTGCGACAAGTCATTCAACACGCTTGGGTGACCTTACTCACAACTCGTTGCTTGAGAGACAGAAATAGCTTGTCAACCCTAGTGAAAGTGAGGCTTGCTTCGCATCTAGTCCCCTCGGCATTGGCGTTTAGAAGTAACAGTTACTCAACCATCACCACCCTATGCCACTCTGCATGAGGACGCTCAAGAAAAAAAGAAAAGACAATATACTAATAATATTACTTATATAGAGGTAACTACCTTGTAATAAAGATCATTGGTGTTGCCACTAGTTTGCAAGAAAACTTGGCCAACATCACATGTTAATGGGGGGGGCTGGAGGAGCGATGACGTTTCACGCCGTTTGTTTTGCACCACAACCACAACCTCAACCACACCACACCAACTTGTACTGTACGATCTATCATTTGTACTGCGCAACCCTTGCAGTCGGTTGATCACTGACTCCCGAAAATAATGGCTTCAAATGGGAGTGTCTCGCTCAATGCGGAGCCCTCTCAGCCAGACGTGCGCGAGAAACAACATCTGGAGCCCAAGAGTTACGTTGATGCTGTGCACGAAGAACCACACGTGAACGGCACGAATGGAACGAACGGAACGACTGTAAGGAGCAAGAATACAAACTCGGAGGCTGAATGGTTGAATTCCTCGTCGCATAAAGCTTCAGTGGCCTCAGTGCTGCGAATTGTTGATACAGGTGCGGATGTAAAGGAAAAGGAAACGGCGAAGGGGGGTGAACGGCCGCAATACGAACGGCAGGAATCGAAAGTAGAATATTCAGGAGCTGTAAGGTCCGCCCCCTGAGGTTTACCAGCAGGCACTAATTCAATCCAGGGCCTGGACGACACTCCCACGATCCCTCCTAAGCAGAGGCACCGAAGGCAAAAGAGCAACTCACAAGAGAAGAAAAACGAAGATAACAAGTCAAAGACCAATGCTGTTAAAAATGGGGAAAATCCAAAAGTCAAGGACGACCAAAATCATACGACCGTTTTCGAGAAAGTCGAGGGTACCCAAAATGGCAGTAAGCTCGTCAGCGTAAAACCCGACCCTGGATTGGAGAAGCAGCACCGAACTGATCGCAAGGTGACTCCCAAACCATCCAAGGAAGACGGACTTGCGAGCGGTAAAAAGCCAGGTCAACGGTGGCATCAAAGCGGCATTCGATTTGCGCCTTTAAATGTACCTCTACAAAGACGACTACAGACCTTGGTGGTCCTGGCCCACACCCTCTGCATCGCCATATCCATATCATTGTTTTTTTTTCTCTGCGCAATACCTCTATTCTGGCCATTATTGATACCATATATGATTTACTGCATGACGTCGACAGCATCAACTTCGGGGACTCTGAGCCATCGTTCGGAGTTCTTACGGTCACTTCCTGTATGGTCACTATTTGCTTCTTACTTCCCCTCAAGACTCCACCGGACACAAGAGCTTCCTCCTACGAGGAAATATATTTTTGGTTATCATCCACATGGCATCCTTTCCCTAGGAGCGTTTGGCGCCTTTGCTACTGAGGCTCTCGGGTTCTCGCAACTGTTTCCTGGGATCAAGAATACACTTCTTACGCTAGATTCGAATTTTCGTATTCCTTTATATAGAGACTATGCTCTGGCCATGGGGATAGCTTCTGTTTCTAAGGAGTCATGTGAGAATCTACTTTCTAAGGGAGGACCAAATAAGGTATGCTCAAGCCTCTCTATATTAGACCACTCTACTGACTTGGTATAGGAGGGAATGGGCCGCGGTATTACAATTGTCATAGGCGGTGCTCGCGAGTCTTTAGACGCTCAACCCTATTCCCTTAGACTCGTCCTCAAACGCCGCAAGGGATTTGTCAAGATGGCTATCCGTACAGGTGCAGACCTCGTCCCCGTCTTAGCATTCGGGGAGAACGACCTCTACGACCAATTCAACTCGGAATCACACCCAAAGATCCATAAATTTCAACTTTTAGTCAAGAAAGTGCTTGGATTCACTGTCCCGCTTTTCCACGCACGAGGCATTTTCAACTACGATGTAGGGCTTATGCCGTATCGGAGACCCGTGAATATTGTGGTTGGAAAGCCGATTAGAGTTGCCCAGTCATCGAAGCCAGACCAGGAGGAAATTGATCGTGTACATGAGGAGTATGTACAGGAGCTGGAGAGGTTATGGGATTTGTGGAAGGATGATTTTGCCCCACAGCGGAAGGAGGAGATAGAGATTATGGAGTGAAAAAAATTGGAATATGGATTTGGGAGAATGGTATTAGGGGGAATGGGGTCATCAAGGAGTCTATGGTTGATGGGAGGTATATACTGGTTGGTATATTGAAGCACTTGTACGATGGCAACAGTGGACATTTGATAGGCCAAAAATCTGCATTATGAAGTATAGTTCCTTCAGAGGCCCGATTACGCTACGACGGTGAGAGTTGGATTGACATGAATGTTGAAGAGTTGATTATTCTCAAGTCATCCTGAGTCGATAAATGTATGGTCTACACGTGGTTCTCTAACATGCTCCAACTGAATCGAGCCACTCGTACCTGAATCTCAGTACACCGCGACATCCTTGTGGGGATACAGGGGTAAGGTGCATAACAAAACCCGAATACGAAAACCCTTCGAAATATAGCTCCATTTGTTCCTTGTGAACATTGAACTTGATTAGAGAAACTATTTAGGAAACGGGCGATTCTTTACATTTGTTACCTGATTTCATGATCGCAACGTACGATAGAGTGTTGCCGGCAGATAAAGGAGCCGGAGGTGAAAGTTCAATTCAGTTCAGGGGAGCGCGCCAATCATAGCGGCCGAAATTAAAAGCTCCGTTCCCAGAAAAATTACCTTTTAAGTCGTGCCTCCTTATCGTGTCGCAACCCTCAACAACGACTCTCACTCTCACCAATTCTGCCCCTCCGCATATACGATGGGTCTTCTCGAGCAGGTTACGGGTCCGTTGGCCCAGCAGGTCGCGCAGAGGGGAACTGGCGTCGTTGTGGCTGCGGGCGTCGCAGCTTTCCTCGTCTGCAGTGTTGTGCTTAATGTCTTGAGCCAGTTGCTGCTGAAGAACCGCAATGAGCCTCCTGTCGTCTTCCACTGGTTCCCGGTTATTGGCAGTACGATTACGTATGGCATGGACCCGTACAAGTTCTTCTTTAGTTGCAGAGCGAAGGTTAGTCGACTCCTGGTGAACCGCGTGGATGAATGAATGAATGCTAATGATTTCGATACAGTATGGCGATGTTTTTACGTTTATACTGCTGGGGAAGAAGACTACGGTGTACTTGGGGAGAAGTGGCAATGACTTCATCCTCAATGGCAAGCTGAAGGATGTCAATGCGGAGGAGATTTATACCGTCTTGACTACGCCGGTCTTTGGTAAAGATGTCGTCTATGACTGCCCTAACTCCAAATTGATGGAGCAGAAGAAGGTTGGTCTCTATTTGCTAGAAATACACAAATGCTAATATCGCTTTTGCAGTTCATGAAGATCGGCTTGTCCACTGAGGCCTTTCGCCAATACGTACCAATCATCCAAGGCGAAGTCGAACAATTCATCAAGGGCTCCTCGGACTTCAAGGGCGAGAAGGGAACTGTCAACATTTCAGATAGTATCGCAGAGATTACTATATACACTGCATCCCACGCGCTCCAAGGAAAAGAGGTTCGCGACAAATTCGATTCCTCGTTCGCAGCTCTATACCACGATCTAGATATGGGTTTCAGCCCTATCAACTTCATGCTTCACTGGGCCCCTCTTCCTCACAACCGCGCACGCGACCATGCTCAGCGCAGCGTTGCAAAGACATACATGGAGATTATCAAAAATCGTCGGGCTGGAAATGAGAAGGAGAAAGTCGATATCATGTGGCAGCTGATGAGCTCCACGTACAAGGATGGTACCAAGGTTCCCGACAAGGAAATTGCCCACATGATGATTGCTCTTCTAATGGCTGGCCAACACTCATCTTCATCCTCTGGATCCTGGATCATGCTCCGCCTTGCCGCTCGCCCCGATATCATGGAAGAGCTCTACCAAGAACAAATCCGTGTCCTCGGCTCAGACCTCCCTCCTCTCAAATACGAAGACCTCGCCAAACTCACTCTCCATAACAATGTCCTGAAAGAAATCCTGCGTCTCCATACCCCAATACACTCCATCATGCGCAAAGTAAAACAACCTATGGCCGTCGCAGGCACCAGATACGTAATCCCAACCTCTCACGTCCTCATGGCATCACCAGGCTGCACTAGCCGTGATCCAACGTACTTCCCTAACCCCTTGGACTGGAACCCTCACCGCTGGGATGCCGGCTCTGGCGGTGTCATCGGAAACGACGTCGAGGAAGAGCACTTTGACTACGGCTATGGTCTCATCAGCAAAGGAGCCTCCAGCCCTTACCTTCCTTTCGGGGCTGGCAGGCATAGGTGTATTGGTGAGCAGTTTGCCATGGTGCAGCTGTTGACGATTACAGCAACGATGGTGAGAACCTTCAAGTTTAGGAATTTGGATGGTAGTAAGGAGGTAGTGGACACGGACTATACCAGTCTGTTTACAAGACCAATTTCGCCGGCTATCATTGAGTGGGAGAGGAGGGAGAAGGCTTGATGTGGAAGTTTACTGTGCATAGCTTGGCGTTTTGGTTGTACTTATTATATATTTAATACGATGCTTCTTTTGAAGGTCTTGCCCAAGATAAATTATACAATGTACCTACCACGTGAGGCCGGCCATTGTTACAGAATGGGCGTCGCCGGAATTAAGGTATTTCACATGCTTATCAGAAGGACCCCTAAAATTCCAGATGTTCGGCACGCAGGAGAGTACAGTTTTTGAGAACCTTGATGCTTTGCACACACATCTACTGCTTTAATTTCTATTATGTTTAAAGACTTAATCTTCCTGACAACAGCTGACAAAAATAAACTCTGGATCAAATTATTACAGTTCAGATGAGAAAGCGATATTTATTTCCGGAAGCGTCGAGGTTGAGTTGGTTGGCAAAAGCTGATTCATTTGCCGAGATCCGATTTCGTTGGGCCGGCCAATCGCCGCCAACAGAAGGATCTCTATTATTGGGCTCCTCGGCCTCTTCCACTGACACTCTCTTAAGACTCCTCGTGGGTATCCATTGGCTTCTTCGACACCTTCCGCTCCTTTCTCTACTTTCTACCATGCCATTGCGCTATCATTCATGACCCGCATCCCTCTATTTACTGTCCTTTCCTGCTCAACGCTTCAGTAACAAATAAACAAACAACCCCGCTTCACTACGCCACTGACGACGCAACGACTTCACCATGCGCTGTACTTCGCCCTCGGTAACGGTGGAATCTTATGAAGATATCTCAACCGCAAAAGCGAGTGGGACGGAGGATGAGAAACCTATAAACCGCAGACGGCATTCCTCTTTCCATCCGCGACGGCTAAGCTCCGATTATGCAACAGATGGAGAAGAGGGCTTACTACTGAAGGTTTGCCGACATAAACATTTCAAGCAACAAGCAGACGGCTCATTTAGTTACAGGTTGATATATTTCTTTCCGAACTCGAACGAAGGCTAGATTTCCTCGAAAGCTACAGCAACGTCACTTTCGATGCTAGTATCTCGAAAGCATACGCCACGCTACAAGCGGTGCGAGCACGATGTTCTCAGGTTTCTGGGGAGGTCATTGGTGTCGGGAGAAGGAGAGCCAAGGTCATGGTCGAGACCGTGGAATCGAGATATCAGGATGCGCTGACCGCGACGGAGTCCTTGAGCGAGAAAGCCCATGAGGGAATTGGACTGCTGGAGAAACTACTCACGGACTTTGAGTCCCGAGCCTACAAGATGCGGGAGCAGGGCTTCGTGGGCGCCGCGGGGACACTGATGGATGAGGGAAGGAGAGTTGTTGATGGGGGATTCGAACGAGCTCGCGAAGTGATAGATGAGGGACTTGAGAGAGCTCGAAAAGCTACCGAAACTCTGGAAGAACATATCGAGTATGCTATTGCGCGAGCACGAGATAATGGTCTTATCAAGTACGAGGACCTCCCGGTTCCTTGGAGGATAAACCCGCATATTGTCAAAGGCTATCGGTTCACGGAATCGAAGGTTGATTGCGTGAGATCTATGTTTAATATCTCGAATGAGTCGGTGAACATATGGTCTCATGCAATTGGCCTCCTCATCGTCCTGGCGATTGCCTTCTATTTCTACCCCACTAGCGTCAATTTTTCAAACAGTACAAACACCGACGTGTTTATCGCTGCCGTTTTTCTTTTCGCTGCGTGCAAATGCCTGGCCTGCAGTACCATTTGGCATACGATGAACAGCGTCGCGGATCAGAATCTCATGGAACGTTTTGCTTGTGTGGATTACACTGGTATCTCGCTCCTGATCGCGGCTTCGATCATGACGACCGAGTACACGGCTTTTTACTGCGAGCCCGTCAGTCGGTGGGTTTACATAACCGCCACTGCGATTCTTGGCATCGGCGGTGTTATCCTCCCCTGGCATCCTACCTTCAACAGGTCAGATATGGCCTGGGCTCGCGTAGCATTCTACGTCACACTAGGTGCTACCGGGTTCGCTCCCGTAGCACAGTTGAACCTGACTCGAGGTGGAGCATGGGCGTGGGAATTCTACCTCCCCATCGCAAAGAGCATCACGGTGTATGTAGCTGGAGCTTGTATATACGCCAGCAAAGTACCCGAGCGATGGTGTCCTGGTGCCTTTGACTATATCGGTGGCTCGCATAATGTGTGGCACTTCTGCGTACTGGGCGGTATTCTCTTCCACTACGTTGCGATGCAAGAGTTTTTCGCCAAGGCTTTTCTGAGGGCTGGGAATGGCTGTGGGATTTATTAATGAATGATACATTGAGATGAATGGCTGGCGCTTTAGATGGTTATGAATTACGGTACATGGCTAGCTGTTTAGATGGTTTCTTGAATATATATGGCACATACAAAATGTCAATAAACATTGAATGAGACACTTGTTTATAGCAGGTGCTGAGTAGCAGAACCATAAGTGCAAGTTTAGACGTGTAGTTTGCCTATTTTTTAAGTTTGTGACCAAGCAGCTTGGTTGTGGTCTTGGGGTTTGGATCCGATGCGTGAATGTAGCACCCAAGGTAGACTTGACTATCAACATCTTTTGCCAATGCGGAACACTTAAAGGTGATACGCCAAGGGATCCGGAAAATCTTTGATAACGCTGAAGGATTTTATGAACCTGCTGAGCTCAATGGATCTATAAAGCGGCTTGTCTCCATGAGGCGCGAAACATACGCATCTTCAAATCAGAAGTCCATAATCGAAAACACCTCATACCCAGGCTCTTCATAGGGATGTACACTACAACAACGGTATTAGAAATGTATGATGATGATATAAACATAAACCAGAAGTGGGATCGTAGCCTCAAGTTACAGTACCTTTTCAAAGCCTCCACCGCTTTCCTGACAACATCCTCTCCCACGCAAAGCGTCTCAACTCTCGCCTCATCCACCTTCTCCAGTACCCCGACCGCCCCTAGATGCGGATTGGCAGCACTGCCTGGGCGAAACTGGGCTGTGCCAATTGTCTGCCACGCGCATTCGGTGTAGGACCCTGGCCCGGGGTAACGGCCTGCGCCTGCGGCGAAGACGGCTGCTTTGACGGCATCGAGTTCAGGTAGTGGGACGCGGAACACGAGCATGAATCTGGGAGCTGCCATTCTGCTTCTCGGATAAGCAATTGGGCTGCGTTGGGTTGGGGAATGAAGGTCGGTGCGAGCTGAGATAGGGTGGAATATTCGCAAAATAAAAAATTGCGCTCTCTGCGAACTGCATGCGGCGGGGGTCAGGGTCAGGTCTCCCGTGGGATCTCGAGCCGAGCCGGGCTGCAAGTTACCACGAGCCCGAGCGCAAGATTTGATGGTCCTGGTGGTTGTAGAAAATACCTACAACATGATGAAAGGATATCTGCCGCTTATGGTACCACATACTGCATTGTACCTTCATGAAACGCCCTTTTCATACTTACGCAAGTCATGAAGACTCATAATACTCAGTATTGGCATCTTTTGATATCTTGGCTTTGCAAGAATCATGGAGAAAAAAGTTCTGATGTGAATATTCATGCTATTATTCAGCGGATGACGAAGGTTTGCGCAAACTGGAAGATCTACACCCTTAACTTGCCAAGCCTTATCAATATTCCGTAAGAAAGTATAACCCACGGATCCCACAGAATGCCGGCTTGGCTGGAGACCATCCATCTCCTGAAGAGATTATTTTTATATCATTTAATACTAGCCTATATTTCGGATCGGTGATTCTACCCAGGTCTCTTTGATAAATTCTATATATCACTATGAATCACTCCTCCACGACGAATAATGAGGTCTCCTTGTGAATGTGAACCAAGGCCTGGCGAAGTCTGAAACAGAGGTCCGAGTCGTCTTGATTCGCGAATCACTATATACGCAAGTCACGAATGCGAATGCGAACGAGAATCAAAAGAGTCGAATTATTCAGCTCATTGAAAAGACTTGCGAAGTAAGCTTCCTGGCACGTCCCGCGCCAAACACCCCGCCGCAACCATACCGGTAGTTAGCATTTTTCTTCCGCAACAACCGGCATTCTAAACACATACACAGTATTATCAAGAATGGCGACCGAAGACCACCAAAAGGGAGGGTCTCCGACATCTACTGAGCCTAGAGATGATGGCCCCACGAACGCTGCGAGTTTGTTATCTGGGACCAGCGGGGTTAGCGCCGAGGAAAGCGCCCTCCAACATCTGAATGTGAGCCGACTCCAAAGGGATATTGAGGGTTACGGTATTTAGAACAGCTAATGAGTCTATTTAGGTTGACTATAACGACGATGGTGATAGTGCGGTAGGAGGTATGACAGTGCAGTGAGTTCGCAAGGCCTTTATTGAATGAACTTCGACTACGAGACTGAAGGATATAGGACTTCTACCATCTCTGTTAATTCGAGCTTCTATAACTATGTTGAGGAGAATGGACGCACATATCATAAGTATAAAGAAGGCAGTAAGCAATCAAGGTATACTTCATAGGCAGTATTACTAACAATGTTTGTAGAATATATGATGCCAAATGATGCGGTATGAAGCATGGATCCCTATGCTTTAGATTAGAAACCCATATCTAACGTCTCGATAGTTAGAGATAGATAGGTTAGGTAGGAACTTCTTATCCATCAAGAGATGAAGCTACTAACTTCCAAAAAAGAGCTTCAACATCAGCTGTGGCTAATCACGCTCTGCGACGAATTGAGTCTTGTACAAGTCAAGAACCCCCAAAATGTGCTTGACATCGGGACAGGGACTGGCAGTTGGGCTATAGAATTCGGTATGCTCACAAAGAATTCTTGAAACGGATGGTTAGTAACTAATGGGTACAGCTAATCGATACCCTTCCGCACATGTTATAGGGTGCGATCTTAGCCCAATCCAACCAGAATAGTGAGGATTGTACCTAAACTGTCATCAGAGACCGCTAATTCCCCAATAGCGTGCCTTCAAACTGCCATTTCGAAATCGACGATGCGGAAGACGAATGGACCTACTCGCAAAAGTTTGATCTGATCCACGGTCGTGCCCTGGTGACCTGTTTCAAAGATCCTTCAATAGTTATCGCATCTGCGTTCAACTCACTCGTGCCAGGCGGCTATCTCGAGCTTCAGGATCTTATATTACCTTTGCGGGCTATTGACGACACACTCCAAGGAACCTCGCTGGATCACTGGCTAACAACTACCATCGATGCAGCTGCTATGCTCGGAACATGTTGGAAACATAGCGGGGACTACGTTAGGCTTCTCGAGGAGGCGGGGTTCGTTGACGTGGTTGAGAACCACTTTCAGTGGCCTATGAATACATGGCCGAAAGGTGAGAGGATGAAGGTTCTTGGACGGTATATGCAAGAGAACTTGTTGAGGATTTTGGAAAGTCTCTCGATGGCACCTTTGACAAGAGGTGCGGGGTTCACAAAAGAGAAAGTCCTAGAACTTACGGCGGAGGTGCGGAAAGACGTTGTTAACAAGAGCATTCATGCATATTTACCGGTGGTGGTAGTGTATGGCCGGAAGCCAACTGAATAGCATGCTCTTCGTCTTTGAAAGTCTCATGGTGGGGCGAAGATTTCCACGCTTCGTACCCCGCGCCTGTGGCATATTTGCACGTGACTCTAGCTTAAAACTTTTTGCCTGTTGGTTTCTGGAGAGTTCAACAAGCTCTGCAATTCAAAAAAGTAGAGGTAACATAACCGCGTCAGATGGATCGATGACCAACATACCAACGCACTACGAGATTCTAGGTCTTCCGGAAACCATCCGAAATGATTTTACTATCCCAGTGCAAACCCTGCGAGGCGCATATCGTCGAGCGCTCCTCCAAAACCACCCCGACAAGTCACAGCTCCCACCGAAACCTACCTTGACCTCCCAACACACCGTATATTCTATCGATCAGATATCGGAAGCATTCAGTATTCTGTCAGACGGCAAGTCTCGAGCGAAGTACGACAAGGAGCTGAAGCTGCAGAACAATAGTGCAAATGCAGCAGGGGAAAAGGGAAAGCAAGCGTTCCGCACTGGGGTTGAGACGGTGGATTTAGACGATCTCGAGTTCGGTGAAGCACAAGAGGAATGGTATAGGAGTTGCAGGTGTGGTGATGAGCGCGGGTTCCTTATCAAGGAGACGGATTTAGAAGAAGCTGCAGAAGACGGCGAACTCAATGTGGGTTGCAAGGGATGTAGTCTGTGGCTAAAGGTGCTTTTCGGTGTCATCGAGGAGGGCATAAAGCCTGTAGATACTGGAGAAGACACAGATGACCTGAAGGAAGCATTATGATTCTCGCACTCCGCGTCACTTTGGTGCCTGGCCCTGGGGTGAGGCAATTTGAGGTAACACTGGTCATAACCAAGGATTCCCGACAGTCGTAAAGCATGCAGCATGCATTTCAGGGTCAAGGTAACGCAGGACAGAGTGACAATCATTTGAGAGATTGCCTGTGTCCCTCGATGAAACTACTTGAAGAAAATAGAGCTGCATTTTCAATATCAAGATGTACCAGCTTCCTATGACTTCCAATCAGTGCTCGAGAGCTATTGGTCGCCTCAAACCTGTGGTATAATTACTCTTGCAACGTCCAAATAGATATTCAGAGAACGCCAAACACGTCGTAGAGAAGTAATCGAACGGTGTTGGAAGAACTGATGTTGCTGTGTTATGAAAGGAAAGGAATCCAGATTTTCTAAAAGACTTTAGCAAAATGCTTGAGCCCTTGCTCACCGCCTTGTTGGCGCTAGTCCAAAAGAGACATATTTTTACTGTACTGTACTGTACCGTACTGTACTCAAGCTCTCTCCACAATATTCCGTTGGACAGGGATGGAGTGAGATGGTGGGAGACGGAGTCTTGGTTTTGGATCACCTGTGCCAGATCGCACCTGCATACTTGTACTAACTACTGTAACGCATTCCAATCAACCCTACCCCACCTTCCCCTTCCGCTCTCTTTGAAAGTCTTCTCTTCTCTGTACTAATGGTCGTTCCTTCCCGTTCCTCCTTTTCAATGCGTGTGGCTACTTCTTTGTTCCACTCAGCCATCTTTCGCCCTACCTATAATACAATACGCCCAGTAGTCTTTTCTGTCTCGCCCAGAACCCAGAGACGGGCTTTTACACTATTACGCCCCGCAAGCCACGTTTCTCAGAAGCCTGCGTATGTCTGTTCTATCCCTTTGTTTGAGCAGAAGCTATCAGAAGGCACTCCATGGAATTGAATAGCTTCTAGTCTCCCTACTGATTTACTACCAGCCGTTGGATTCAACATTCATAGCTAACAGCAACCCGCAGTCTCCAAAATACCTTCAGACAACCTCGAATATCGACTCCTCTTACATACACTCCTCCCACAGCTATTTCGGTTCGACACTGTTCATACAGGCGGAACAACATGTGTAAACTTCACGGAGAGGGGGGTGTAGAGGCAGGTGGGGTAGACGTGTCTAAGGGCAGAGAGCTATTACCTACCAATGTAGTGCCGAAACACTACGACGTTACCTTAGAGCCGGATTTCAAGAAGTTCACATACGAGGGAAAGATCACCGTGGACCTAGACGTTGTTGAGGATACTACCTCAATTTCTTTGAACACCCTAGAGCTCGACATCCACAGCACATCGATTATTGTTGGATCGCAAACCATCAGGTTAGTAAATGGCCGAGACGTTGGGAGGTCATATATCTAACAAGCTTTCTTTACTAAAGCTCCAGTCCCGCGGTTTCTTACGATGAGACTACCCAAACAACCAAAGTTGGATTCGAGAAGACCCTACCAAAGGGATCCAAGGCACAACTCCAGATGGTATTCACTGGCCAGCTCAATGACAAAATGGCCGGTTTCTACCGTTCTACCTACAAGAATGCGGATGGAAGCGAAGGTACCCTGGCCACGACTCAAATGGAGGCAACTGACTGTCGAAGAGCTTTTCCATGCTTTGATGAACCCGCTTTGAAGGCAGAATTCACAGTCACTTTGATTGCCGACAAGAATCTAACTTGCTTGAGTAACATGGACGTTGCTTCGGAAACTGATATTCAGTCAAAGATCAGCGGTACAACTAAGAAAGCTGTCAAGTTCAATAAGTCTCCTCCAATGTCTACTTATCTGGTAGCCTTTATCGTTGGAGAGCTGAATTACATCGAAACCGACAAGTTCAGGCTCCCTATCAGAGTATACGCACCCCCTAGTTCGGATATTGAGCATGGCCGCTTTGCCTTGGAGCTTGCTGCTCGTACTCTCGAATTTTACGAGAAGACCTTCGACAGCGAATTTCCTCTCCCAAAAATGGTATGTGATATACTTGTTTATTAGTGTCTATCTAATTCGAAATGTAGGATATGGTTGCTATTCCAGACTTTGCTGCCGGGTAAGATATACTCTCGCCGAGGTACTCGTACAGATTTACTGACAGTGCCGAATAGTGCAATGGAGAATTGGGGTCTTATCACCTATCGCGTAGTCGACGTCATGTTTGATGAGAAGACTAGCGGTGCTTCTGTCAAAGAAAGAGTTGCGGAAACAGTTCAGCATGAACTCGCTCATCAATGGTTTGGTAATCTAGTTACTATGGACTTTTGGGATGGTCTGTGGCTCAATGAAGGGTTCGCAACTTGGATGTCGTGGTACTCGTGCAACATTTTCTACCCCGAGTGGAAAGTTTGGGAAAGTTACGTCACAGATACTCTGCAAGGTGCACTTTCTTTGGATTCTCTGCGCAGCAGTCATCCTATAGAGGTTCCAGTCAAGAGAGCAGATGAGGTGAATCAAATTTTTGATGCCATATCTTACTCGAAGGGTTCTTGCGTCCTTCGAATGATCTCAAAATATCTCGGGGAAGATGTTTTCATGGAGGGCATCCGCCAATACCTGAAGAAACATGCCTACGGAAACACCCAGACTAGTGATTTGTGGGCTGCGCTCAGTAAGGCAAGTGGAAAGGATTTGGAGAAGACTATGGATATCTGGACCAAGGCTGTTGGATATCCCGTCGTCACTGTCACCGAGAACAAGAAGGACAACACCATCCACGTGAAGCAGAATCGCCTACTACGCACTGCAGATGTGAAGCCAGAAGAGGACAAAGTGCTCTATCCAGTATTTTTGGGTCTCCGTACGAAAGATGGTCTTGACGAGGAACTTGTTTTAACGAAGCGGGAGGATTCCTACAAAGTCCCAGATCTAGACTTCTTCAAGATCAACGCTGATCACTCTGGTATTTACCGAACCTCATACACACCCGAACGACTAGAGAAGCTTGGAAAAGCTGCGAAGGATGGCTTGTTGAGTGTTGAGGATCGTGCGGGTATGATTGCTGATGCGGCAGCACTTGCGGCATCCGGATATCAGAAGACATCTGGAGTACTGAACTTACTAAAGGGGTTTGATGGCGAGAAGCAATTCGTGGTATGGAACGAAATCCTCTCTCGCCTTGGTACGATCCAAGGTGCTTGGATGTTCGAAGACCAGAAGATTAAGGATGGCCTTGAGACATTCCAGCGAGACCTTGTTAGCGGCTTAGCCCATGGGTTTGGTTGGCAATTTAAGGACAGCGACTCCCACCTTGACCAACAATTCAAGGCAATGCTTTTCGGCAGTGCAGGCCTGTCTGGGGATAACACCATCATCAAAGCCGCTAAAGATATGTTGGCGAAATTTGCGGCAGGTGATAAGTCAGCCATACATCCTAATATTAGAGGCAGTGTGTTTGGAATGGCGTTGAAATATGGTGGAAAGGAAGAGGTAAATATGTTCCCCTGGTATCTTGCCGTTCCTTTCTAATCCATAATAGTACGATGTCATCATTGATACTTATCGCAACTCTAAAAACAGTGACGAGCGTAACACTGCACTTCGCTGTCTTGGCCGGGCCAAGGATCCCGAGCTTATCAAGCGTACACTGAGTCTTCCTTTTGGAGGCGAAGTCAAGGAGCAAGATGTCTACCTCCCGATTAGTGCACTACGAACCCATCCTCAGGGCGTTGAAGCCTTGTATGGCTGGTTGACTGAAAACTTTGATGAATTGGCGACGAAATTCCCAGCTGGGCTTTCTATGCTTGGATCAATCGTGACCATCTGCACATCGGGCTTCACCAAGGAGGCTGATATAGCACGAATTCAAAAGTTTTTCGATACTAAGAGTACGAAAGGTTTTGATCAAAGCCTTGCGCAAAGCTTGGATACTATCCGAGCAAAGAGTGCCTGGCTTGCGCGGGACAGGGAAGACGTCAAGAAGTGGGTGGAGTCTTATGAGGGGAAGACTATCAAAAGCGAGTTGTAGACGATAGTCGCAGCGAAAGCATTTTCTGTGGATCTAATGAAGCAGTGACTCCATAGCTGTCCGATATAAGGATAATTACAATATATAACGCCCCTCCAGACAATAGCAAATACTCGGTAGCTTCAAGAGCGTCGTGGGTTGTGAAACACCGTGAGAGGTAGAGTTCGTGGACTTCGAAAAAGTTATGTCAACCAACTACGAAAACTTCTACATGCTTCAGAACTAAAATTGAATAAACAAAGAGAAGATTCCGAATTTCCCAAAGCCGCCTCATCTTCCGCTTTCAAACCAAACGAAAGTCCAAGTACTAATGCAATTATTCATATACCGATGGCCCAGGCAAAGTGTAAGAGGTAGGCTGGGAAATTTGTTAGTCTAAGTCCACTCCTTCTTCCTATGATTGTCGAGGACAAAAGCTTTAACTTACGACAGGATAATAGATATTTATCAATATACCAGGATCAGTCGCTTTATATGCACCAGGGAATGCCACCAAATCAGTTGGAGTCCCGGTTCCCCCACCCGTAACATCGACCTGTCCGCACGAGATATAAAACTGTGCGCCCCCCGCGCTACTCGCAGAATGCAGTGCAATATGCTCAACACGGAGCAGGTACTCGCCACTAGGGAGCGACGCAGGAACCGTGAAGTTGACTTGCGTAGCATCTAGCGTTGGCCAAGTCAGCGACGTGCCGAAGGTTGGGCCCTGTCCGAAAATCTTGAACCACACGGTGCCGCTTCCGTCCCAGGTTGCGGCTGTTTGGCCGGAGGGGACTGATGCCATGTATACTTGGAGGGGCCCGGGGTGGAATATATCGGGGCTGGAGGTGAAGCCGATGGTGCTGCCGGCTGGGATGGCGAGGGTTGATGAGCTGGCTGTGGAGGCGTTAACGTTGCAGCGGAGGTCTAGAGAGGTGACGTCTGTGACGGGACTGTTGGTGTAGTAACCTGTCCATTGGCGTACTGTGGTTTGTGAGTTGCCTTCTTTGGCATGGGGAAGGAATAAGTGGACATATAATATGGAATGAGATGAAGAGGTCGTGCTTGCGTTTCTTAACACTTCAAAAGCGCAACCGAAGTCCGACTTATTGACACTACTAGCTTGGAATGAATAATACTGGTTGCTTACCATATTGCCAGTCTGTCGTTGCAGCGCCATCTTTAATAAGCGCTGGAAATGTGTAGTGTGCGTTTGCCAGGGAAGAAAAGGCAACGAATGATGCGAGGAACTTCATCATGAATATATGTATAAGCGTAAAATGTCTTGCAGATCTTGAGATATATAGAGCTGGAAGATGTCTCCTAGCCTTTATACATTCCATATACCTACTTTCTCTCATGTTTGCTTCCACTAGGCTTTCAACATCGAAGGGCTAAGTGTTATTATCCTGAATACACTTGACAATTATCCAGATTATGCGCATCACATGATGTTGCGTTTCCTCCCCTTTACCCTGGCACTGTGTCCTCTCAATGGCTACTCGTTTGAGTTGGATTTAATAATTTTGAGCAGATGATGTGTCCTGCAAAGTATGCTTAAATACGTTCGGGAAACCGGGCCTAAGCTAATAGAGATAGATCACTAGATGTCTGGTACCACTTCCCATCGCCTTGAGGGCAGGCATGTGTATGGATGAGTAGAATGGTGTCTACTCTATCTTGCCCCGTAATCCGGGCTTGAGTATGAATGCCCAGGTAGGAGGTAAGGATCACGCTGCTAGATATAAAAAGATGAAATGACTTACTTCATGACCATCAAATGAGTTCGTGCCGCTTCATAGAGTGTAAGCGGACAGAAAAGGGGCGATCTCTTTTTGTTGCATGTCGCACCTCTCATACCACTAGCCGTTGGTTTGCTATTCCTACCTAAGGTAGGTATCTGAAGGATCCACTTGTCTAGATAGGCGGGATTGAATCATAGGGTATTGCCCTATTGATGGAAAACGCTAGCATAGTGCTGCGACGTGCAACAAGATTCATATCTGCTTCTCGATTTGGATATAAAGTTCAAGCGGTAGCATGCGGCATCATGGAATGAGTGAAATTCATTTGAAGAAATGAAGTCACTCACTCTACACTGGATAGGGGTTTTGCGATGTATGACTGCTGGGATACTATCAGTGTCGATGAGACCGGAAGGGAGAAATAAGCAATGGTAGTGCACCCAAGGCTTTTGAGTTGTACTCTGTTGAGAGGATTCTGATCCGAATTGACAGATGGAGGGTTTCAATGTTCTTCAGCCAGAATTGCATTCACCTTTAGCTTCACCACAACCTCCTGCAATTGAGGCACTGCTTCCACTTCATCCCAACGCAACATCAAAACATCGCCACGCGCAACTCTTTGACTCTTCTCAAAACATCAAAACGCAATTCTGAAACCAAGTACAAGAATCAACAAACGATGGTAAGTCACCCAAAAGTAGTGGTGATCGATATGCTCACAACTTTGAAGGCACCCAAGAATCTCCCTCCCGCCGCCAAACAGGCAAAGATTCTGAATTGGTTCCGAGAATCGATGAATGTCTACACTCTGAAAGAGCTCGAGAAGTTGGTGCAATCTGTCGCATCCATCAACTCGATGCAAGTCAAGGAATACCTTCAAGCTCTTCAAGACGAGAACCTCATCCGAGTCGAGAAAATCGGCAGCGGCAATTGGTACTGGTGCTTCATGTCGGATGCTAAGAAGAGCAAGGAGAACATGATCAACACCTTGAGGGCCGAAGAAAGCAAGATGATGGCTTTGATCGCCGAGACGGAGAAGCAGATTGAACAAGAGATGGCCAAGCGCGATGAGGATGACGAGATGCTGGTGGATAATGGCATGGACAGGAAAGCCCTCTTGGAGGCCCACGAGACGCTCTTGAAGGAGATGGAAACCCTCGACAAGGACTTGGCTTGCTACAGCGACAATGACCCGGCCGAGATTTCACGCAAAATGGAGGAGACGAAGAGAACAAAGGATTGTGCTATCAAGTGGACTGATAATGTGGAGGCTATGCAATCATTCCTTTTCAACATCCTTGGGGATCGCGCTCAGGTTGCCGCCACGATGCAGACGAGTTGTGGTGATGAGTACGTCGTTGGAGAGGGTTTGAAGGATCTCTGTGCCCCAGCCTGAGCACGAAGGGCATCAACAATTATGTACGTGGAATTTTGAAGGGATTTGAGAAGGATTACGATACACATAATCTAGCATCATCCTCACAGCTCCTTTGTATCAGCTAGCTATGGCCAACATGTATTGCTAAACAGGTACAGTACAGTATTGCTATTATTTGAAGCTAGTCGAGTACAACGCAGTTATTCATCCAGATTAGGAGACCAGACCGAACTTCCGGAGATACTGAATTCAGCAGTGAGACATTTTGCTGCAGAACGAAGCGTACCTTACCTAATTAGGTATGTATGGCGACCTTTTATCGATATATTCATCAGATCAGATAAGGGGGCATTTGCATCTGCGTTCCGTGGTTCCGTGTACGGAGTACGAAGTAGGAGAGAAAGACAGTGCGTGGAGGCGGGGCGGGGTACTGTACGGGTACGGGATCCTAAGCGCCGACAACTTGGTGGTATCCTTCGCAATTGGATTGGCATGTTGCCGAATAATCAAGCTTTCCGGGGTCTGGGCGGGCCGATGCACGCTGCAAGAAGGGGAGAGGGGAGATCAGAATGGGAGGGGAGTCCACAAGGATTTCCTTAAAGAGCGAGCTTCTTTTAGAAGTACGGTCGGTGGGCGTTGGCGTGGGCGACGGCGTGGGCGTGATGCTACGGTATCTGAGAGAAGTGCCGTGCCGTGTGCCCCTCATCGCGACTTTGACAGGAGGTTTGTGCTTCTCAGAGCTGCCGCAAGAGTAAAGTGCGGTACAGAAAGCACTATACAGTACTGTACGAGTCGATTACGGAGCGTGTGCCACCTAAGATATACGAACGACTAAAGCTCAGCCACGATTACATACTTACAAGACCGTAGTGATGCTGTTGATGATGGATGAATTAGTTCACTCCCTATAATTATTTATCCTCTTTGGTACTGCTGGAATACGAGCTTCCAAACCCCACACCCAACTATACCATAAACGCAGATGGTACTTACTGTACGGCCAGCGTATTTGGCGCCTCCTCTTTGACCACCCCGTCAATATAGTAATATCATTCATTTGCGAGTACGATAGGGAGGTACATACATAGCCGGCAGAGCAATCCCCAAGCGCTCTGACTACTGTACCAAGTCTCACACCGTAAACCTTCTCCTTCCCAAACCCGCAACGCGTGTACTGCGACAATTGCAGGACGACCTCTCCAAACCGCCCGCTCACCCCAGTTTTCTGTTACCGTCGCGCTGCGCGGTGCTGTCCCCTGGCGTCCGCTGGAGTTTCGGCTTGCGTTGCTGGACTGGTGCAGACGCCCCGCGATTCATGCTAATCATTAATACTGTTTATGCTGGGCATCCTGTCGTTCCGCCGTCTCTGGTTCGACCCACGAAGGTGCTTCGTATCTTTCGTCAGGGCTTCACGTGTGACCGGCTTGAACTCCTTGGCAACTACGACTCAAATCTTGGCAGCAAAGCATGTGCGCCAATACCGATAACAATACCACTTCCAGGGCCTCAACGACCTCGCCCTTTACATCGACATCTACCAGCCGGTCGCTGTTGTCGAGGTTGACGGCTCCTCTCAAATCCCGCAGCACGCGAAACCTGACCAACTTCCATATACAGCCCAAAGAGCCCCATCGCCGATATTCTCCTGGAGACCTTGTCAAAGGCGCGGTAGTCCTCACTGTCCTTAAGCCCATACGCCTGACGCACCTCACCGTTTGCCTCCATGGATTTGTCCGCGTTTTCAAGCATCAGAATGAGGCGAACGAGTCATTGCCCGCGGATGCCGGCTTGACATCCAGCAATAGCAAGAAATCACAATACTTTGGCAACGGCCACGCCTCCCTATTTCAAGACGAACAAACCCTTTGCGGCGAAGGGCGACTCGATGCCGGTGTCTACGAGTTTAATTTCGAATTAGTATTCCCCAGGAAAGGCCTGCCTAGCAGCGTTGATGTGAGCTCCTCTCACCCGAGTCCGCTACCTAGCAAGTTGACTGATAAATCGCATAGTTCGAACGAGGAACCATCTCATATTTGATCACAGCTACTATTGTACGACCGACCTCGATTGCTGCCACGTCAAGTTGTGATCGAAAAATCTCCTTGATCGAGACGGTGGATATTGGCGCATTAGCAGCCCCAAAACCTCGAACCATATCTTTAGAACCAATACGTCGGCGCCCTAGGAGAAGGAAAACGGTCAAGAATAAAGAGAATGCGCCCCGGGAAGCGACTGAAAGAACCTCGGGCAGCGAAGCAGCGCGAATAGGATCCCCTCTTCCAGACGAGTCAGTAAGCCAATGTGGTTCATTGGACAATAACACAAACCCTCGAAGCCCAATACCAAGCGACATGCAAAGCACCGGCAGTGCAGCTACCAGTGCAGACAGCACGGTTAGCAGCAGTACAGGACTCAGTTTCCGGCTTGGTCCTGTACCATCTTCTGCCAAGTCGGCACGCGACAGTCAAGGGACTGGTAGCAAGGGTTCGGCACCGGAGAAAACAATAACTGCAACTATTGAGTTACTAAAGTCTGGATGTCTACCCGGCGACAATCTTCCTATCAAGATCTCTATAAGACATACCAAAGCGATAAAAAGTATGCACGGGATCATCATTACGTTTTATAGACAGGGGAGAATCGATTCAGCTCCTCCACTGTCACTCTTCACGAACATCAAAGGGAAAGAGGCACAAAGATTAAAGCATGAAGAGTACTATCCCAAGTCTAAGACGGGACTTGGAGGATTGTCGCTCACTTCCGCCGGATCAAGCAGTTTATTTCGCAAGGACCTTGCACAAACACTGGCCCCTATCCTTGTCGATCCAACAACTTTAACATCAACAGTCAATGCATCAGTGAGAGTACCCGAAGATGTTTTCCCTACCATCTCGGGGGTTCCTGGCGAGATGATCAGCTTCAAATATCACGTTGAGGTTGTTGTAGACCTCGGTGGCAAGTTAGCTGGTCAACAGCGGCATGTTCCAGGAGTATCTTCAGTAATAAATGTCGGCAATCTCTCTGCAGCCCGCGGAGATGGGAACCCAAATATGTTGACCGCTTGGGGTGGCAATATCGTGGATACTGACCATCTCAGACGAGAAAAGAGCGTTGTTGCCTGTCTTTTTGAAGTCACCGTCGGTACAATTGACAGTGCTCGCAAAAGAGGCGGAGATAATAGCTCAGATACAAGACAGAACAACGATGGGTCGTTGAACTCTCCCGCCACACCTGTTACGGCACACGAACCATTACACGAGGAGGCCTACGTACCGGAAGCCGAGGGCATTCATCAGACTGACCAGCGAACTCCCCATCCCTACTATGACCAGACTTATGACGATCAATACCACGATTACTACTCACACATGGGATATGACCATCACCTGGAACCTCATCCTGAGTACACACAACCTGAGTATTCTCAAATTCCAGTTCCTCAGCCAGAAATACATGCGACTGAAGGCTTGAGTGAAAAAGAGCGTATCCGCCGTGCGGAGGAGCGCCTTCTACCTAGTCAACCACCTGAAGATAACCCAGGTCCCTCGTTGTCATGGACAGTCGTTGGCCCACCCGCGCCCTCTGCGCCATCCGCACCCCCGCTTGAGTTACAAGATGACATATATGATGCGGATGCGGAGACTCTTCAAGCTGTATCAGCATCGGCCGCTCCTTCTGCAGTAGATATGAATGCCTCGGGCGCATCTTCAACCATTCCTTCAGCACCAGCGCTGGAAGATCTTGCCCCAAACCCAGGACTTCATTCTACCGATGATAAACAAGAGCTGGAGCGACAAAGGCTGATGAATGAGGCTAGCGCGCCTTCAGAATTCGTTGCAGACGAAGATGACAATGCTGGTGAAGGGGGTAGTAGGCCACAATATGAGCCTTCTGCTCCGATTCTTGCTGAGGAAGGTGAATATGAGAGTCGATATTCACATCATCATTTGGAAGAGCGGGGATTATCTTCACATCAGGAAAGCCTGCCAAAATATGAGCGTTGATATTTAGTGGTTAAGCATATATCATTATATATACCGTTGCTAGGATAGTCTATAATTGATTGGATGATAACGAATGAGATGATACCCAATACTATTTCTAGCCATACAGATAGATGTCTTCACTGTTTACAAGTATTCACCATTTGTGTAAACTGACATTATATGATCTCCTACTTGGCTCAAGTGAGCTATACGAGTCAGAATTCCACGGCTTTTGAGGAGTCTCCGTACTCTTCAATTAGTGAAACGTCCCCGGACCGGAGTCTCTTAACGCGAGATAAACCGTCGTCATGCTTCCCCATCTCGGTAGAAACCCCCGCGGTAGCGTGGAGACCCCAAAAAGTGAAGTCGGGGTATTGGGGATCCTTTCCTCTTCGGTGCAATAGCTTCCCCACAAAACAAAATAGGCTTGCGTTTTTGTGGGGAAGCTGAAGTCCAAACCTCTCCTCGGGAACGGCAGTGGAGGCTGATTTTTAGTTCTCGGTAGGCTTTCGACCGGCATCGCGTTGTGTCTGGTCTATAAGTTCGTATTCATCTTCATTTTCTCTCTCTTCTATCGTTGGTTAAAGACCTTTAGGTTAGAGGTGTGAAGGTATGTGCTTTCCTGTTAACGGCACATTGATGAGCGGAACGAGTCTTATACTAACGTTTGAGTGTATTTAGATATTTTTCTCCAGTTAAAGAGCAACCTTCCAAAACTCTGTTCTTTCAACAGCCTATTCATCGTCGCAGATAAAAGTCATCTACACGAATAATGGGCCTCTTTGGAGGAACCCCAATGAGGGGCAGAGCCCTTAACTGGGCTATCACAGCAGCATCTTGCCAGGGCTTCTTGCTACTAGGTTATGACCAAGGTATGTCAAATTCTTCCCATGCAACGAGAGTTCCGGGCATGTCCCAAGGACTCGATTTGTAGCTCCCGAAAATGCCACATATTAATTCGTTGAGCAGGTGTGATGTCCGGTCTTATCGGAGCAGACAACCAATTCGGAAAAGATTTCAACTCCCCGGACTCCAACATGCAAGGCATCATCGTCTCCATCTACGATATCGGCTGTGCGGTGGGCTGTCTCTTTGCATTCTTCTATGGCGAGAGGGTGGGAAGGAAGAGAATGATTCTCGCTGGCGGAGTAATCATGGTTATCGGTACGGCATTACTTGGTTCTTCTACGACGCTGGCGCAGCTGCTGGTGGGCAGGATTGTGACTGGTGTGGGGAATGGCTTTAATTCTTCGACGATACCCATGTATCAGTCTGAGATGTCTAAGCCGCAGAATAGGGGGATCCTCCTTTGCATGCAGGGCACAATTACTATTGTAGGACTGTGTATCGCATATGTAAGAACCTCCCTCCAAATCTTCATCCTCAAAAGGAAAGTCTGTGGACTAATCACGTGCTTCTCATCCAGTGGCTCGACTTCGGTCTCTCGTACGTCTCCGGCCCCGTACAATGGCGCTTCCCCATCACCTTCCAAGCCTTCTTCGCCATTGCCCTCGTCCTGCAGATGCTGCCGCTCCCAGAGACACCACGCTACCTAATCGAAAAGGGGCGCGTGACAGAAGCGTCGGAGATCCTGGCGCGTCTGGAATTGGATGTCAATACAACCATTGATAACGATGAGGTGGTGTTCCAGCGTCGCCAGATTGAAACTTCGCTGGAGCTCGAGAGCGCAGGTGGGCCGTTTAGATATTCGGAGTTGCTGAAGGGCGGCCATGTACAGAACTTCAGGAGGATTGTGCTATGCTGTGCTGTAAATATCATGCAGCAATTCACGGGTGCTAATATGGTACGCGCTTCCCCCCTCATACTTACAATTCTGTTCACTCCTCGAGGAGCCTAGGACGCCAGCACGTGGCTCCTCGAATATTTTCAACACTTTCTGATATTTCCCGCATGCCAATGCTAATCCGCTGCGTGCGCAGATAAACTACTACGCCCCCGTCGTCTACGCAAACACCATGAACCTCTCCCGGCAACTCTCGCTCATCCTCGGCGGCTGCACGTCGCTCACCTACCTCGCCGCGTCCTTCATCCCACTCTGGACGGTCGAGAAGTACGGGCGGCGCGCCCTGCTCATGTTCAGCGCGGCCGGCCTGTGTTTCTGCTTCAGCATGGTGTCGATCCTGCTGAGCATCGGGACGCGGAGCGCGGCGTACGCGGCGACGGCGTTCGTCTTCATCTTCCAGATCTTCCTGGGGATCGGCTGGTTGCCGATTCCGTGGTTCTATCCTAGTGAGGTTACGACGACGAGGATTCGGAGTCGGGGACAGGCGTTGGGGGGGTTTACTAATTGGATGTATGTTGTCTTGCATTACTGCTTATTCCTTACTTCTTCCCCCTCATCCCTTTTATTCTCAGAGTAGTCGGTCCGCGAATTCTCACTAACTGGATTGCCCCCTTCCCCAGGTGCGTATTCACAGTCGTGCAAATAACACCCATCGCAATCGACAGCATCAGCTGGCACACCTTCATCATCTTCGCCGTCTTCTGCGCGCTCTGGGTCCCCATCGTCTACTGTTTCTTCCCCGAGACGAACCAGCTGGGCCTGGAGGATGTGGATCACTTGTTTGAGAAGGGCGGCATTACAGGTGGCGTGTTTAAGGCTAAGGGGGGCAGAACCGTCGAGCCGGGTGTGCATGAACGCGTGCCGGATATGGGCGAGAAGGGCGTGGTGGATGGGAAGACGATGCAGGTTGAGGAAACGGTTTGACTTTTGCGGGGGGTTTAGATATGTTGAGGTGTTAGGTGAATGGTGAAAGGCGTATGGATCTAGACTCTGATCTTGAAATTGAAAACGTCTTCCAAGTAGTGTAAAGAAACACTGTACCGGTGATGAGTTGCAGAGAACGTTGATATTATTCATGCCTTCGTGAATATCTCGAATCTACTCCTGAAGCAGTTCGCCAGTGAACGAAAGCGTTGATGTTTATATACAAATTTTTGAGTGAGGGTCTACACACGAAGCTCTAGTGATCTTCTCGCAGTCTTGTCTATCAGCTCTATTTGAGAGCTTTCTCGGCTCTTCTTTCTGTCTTCATGCCGTATGTAATGCTTGAAATAGAACCCCTTTAGTCATAAAACGACGCCTTAACACCTTCTCAGCTAAGTCGCTGGGTTGAATAAAATGCAACGCAATGCAATGCAAAGATCAGAACCTAAATATCAAATAACTTCTGTCTCTATGCGTCTGCTCCAACGACCATGCCCATTTTAGCGTTTCCGACAACGGGTTTGATTTCCTTCAGCTTCAATGGCGCGGTGCCGAGACCGTTGCGGTTGCGGTAAAAGTAGACACCCTTTCCTTCTCCAATGGCTCCCTCTGATGGCTCCACCCACTGGCACCAACGAGCGCTTTTCCAGATACTCCTGAGGAATCCGAGAGACCCTCCCTCAACATCAGAGCGATAGTGGCGGCCCATGATAGGCTTAATAGCCTCGCTCGCCTCATCTGCGTGGTAGAAGGGAATGGTGCTAACGTAGTGGTGGAGGACGTGGGTCTCAATGATGCCATGAAGAAGAGTGCGACCGATGAAGCCAAATTCACGGTCAATAGTTGCGGCAGCTCCACGGACGTAGTTCCAGCTTCCAGCAGTGTAATGAGGAAGGGTTGGGTCAGTGTGCTGGAGATATGTGATGGCAACTTGAAAATGTTAGTAAATATTCAGGATAATTCATCATTGTGGTGCATTCTTACCGAGCCAGTGGTTCACCCAAAGGTAAGGGAGGAAATACCACACCAGCATGTTGGTGAATCCAAAAGCCTTGCAGAGCATGGTCAGGATGGTGACGGTAATAGCGATACCGATATCACTCAAAATAATAAGCTTCGCATCCTTGGCTTCATACAAAGGACTGGATGGGTTGAAGTGGTTGACTCCAGTGCCATAGCCGTTTGACTTTCCAATGCCGCGACCCTCTGGCTGACGCTCGTGGTTATTGTGTCCGGTTGCGTTGGAGACAAGGTACATTGGCCAGCCGACGAGCTGCTGTCCGATTGTGTGGAGCAAGGTCATAATTGGGGTCTCCTCGGTCAATTCATGAACTTCGTGCGCCAATTTGCCAATACGAGAGGCGTACTGATCACGAGTCTTGGGGACGAAAACCATGTCTCGCTCCAAGTTCCCGGTAGCCTTGTGGTGCTTGCCGTGGGAGATTTTCCATGAGAAATATGGGACAAGAAGTGCCGAATGGCATAACCATCCAGTTGTGTCGTTGAGGATCTTTGAAGGAGAAAAGGCTTGGTGACCACATTCGTGGGCAAGAACCCAGAGACCAGTACCAAAGAAGCCCTGAACCACAGTGTATATAGCCCACAATGCTGCACGTACTGGTGTAGATGGGATGTACTCGGGGGTGACGAATTTGTTGAAGAGGACAAAAGTGGTAGCAAGACTAGCAATATCACGAGCGACATAGGCCAAGCCTCTCAATCCAGATCGTTCATAGCAATGCTTGGGTATTGCGTTTCGGATGTCGTTGACAGTGTAGTCGGGGAGCTCAAACACGTTTCCGTATGTATCAATGAGTTTGCCAACACCCTCCTCCTTGCCATCGTCCAGCGAGGACATGGAAGACAGAGATGTACTCGACGGTGATTGTCTTGGGGTCTCATTGGGGGAGCCCGCAGCGGTGGAGGGGGCCGAATCATTCGTGGTTGAGGTGACCGTCCGCTTCAGGAGCGTACGCTGGGAAACAGCAGTGGATGCCATTGTGAATGTGATTGTGGGGGATATATGCGTCGCAAGGACAATTGGTTTATTGATTAGGGTTCTGGGCTGTCGACGGTATACTCGAGATATGTGCCAGCTCGAAAGTATGAAAAGTAGCCTCGAGGTATTTTTTGTTGAGTTGACCTAGGACCGAGACTTTTAATTGGGGCGCGGGTGATACTATTGTGAGACCGTGAGCAAGTTACTTCCAGTTGGTCGGGTGGGGAGTGGCAAGTGAAGAACATACAGTTATCAAGACACGTCTCACCGTCGAGGCATGTATTAGAAGTTGAGGGAGAAACAGAAGGGGCGGTGGGCGGTGGAGGAAGAGAAGGAGGTAGACGCAGGAGAAGCAAGTTGGGGTCAGGACGTATCTATGTATTTTTTTAACCCCTACCCCTTCCACATGCAACGATATCCACCGTTCTTCGCTTGGCACCCCATCGGTTTCCCCTTGCTCTTGCTTGTTTCTGTCCCGCGCGCGCCACATTTCGAAATCCCCTCCCGCGGTCTAGTTTCGGTACGGAGTAAAAGCAGAACCCCCTTTGCTCCTGACAGGGGAGGGGCTAGATCTGAGCATTTTACTGTAACTGCCAGAGCCTCGAACAGCTGGCTACAAAGCGAATAGTCTACAGCAACAACTTATCATTCGCGGGCGTAGAATTATATATACTTCATACTGCATCTGCTTCTAACTAATATTATTGGCACTTGTGGCTTGAAAGCAAAGTCCCTCGGCCACTATTCATGCGATTCTACGCTTTGGGCGTAAAGTTGGTCTTGCCTATCGATATCACCCACCGGAGTTGCTGCAACAGAAGCAATTCGTACAACAACCCCAACTAAACCAGTTTTCAATAGTTCCAACTTTCAAAAATCCTTTCTATGTTTTCCCCTCTTTTCCTTCTTTGCATTCTCCGTTTTTACTTCTTGCTCAAGTTGCTCATGGATTGACAGCGGTGATCGATCCCCTTTGGACACTATCTCGCGACTTTACAATCCGAATTGCCTCAGATCTGTGGAGAAAGCTCGCCATTTTTACTATAACAGACATGGGGAAAATCCCTCAGTCTTCTCAACTTTTTCTCAGGATCCCAAAGTCTCTTCTCACCGCCAGAGTATCTGGCGACAAAAGTGCCCTTTACTTGAGAGGCTTGCATAGCCTGCTGCATTGCTCAGCTCACGAGGAAGCGTAACCGTACCACCGTACTCGTAATCCAGTCAAGTCGATTCTGTTGGTCCCCCAGTGCCAAGTTCTCCAATATTTGCCATCGTCACCACTTGCACAAGGATTCGTGGATGAAGTCTCCTCAATTCTAGGTGGGGTTCAGAGGGAGGACTTTCACATGTAAACCGAAGTAAATGCACCAACACCACGAGGGACCCAGGGCCAGGGCCAGTGCCAGTGCCAGTGCCAGTGCCAGTGCCAGTTTGCAGGTTCAGGAACAGATGCACTGCACCAAGACCAACCCAACCTTGAAGCTGTGGGGTCAGAAAAGGGGATAAAGAGGGCCAACTGGATGATGCTTTGCTTTGCACCCCTAAGGAATTTCGATGGTTGACGTTGCATTGGCGAATCAGAAAGCGCCAACGGGCCAGACCCTGCTTGCATGCATCGTTGGTAGGGTCCGATCTCCCCGCTAAATCGGTTTTGTTGGGAGACAGGGGGCTTTCGTTGAGTGAAAGTTTGTGGCAGCCTTAACCGCCTTGACAGCCTCAGGTGTGCATTTCACATGATCGATGATGTTGTACAAACCTACGTATTCAGTCTCAAAATTAATGCTCCTGCATATGAGATCAACTTCTCTCCAGTCGTCGTGAGTTCGGATAGCCACGATTTCCACTAGACTTTCTTCGACTTCTTCGAATGAATGTCACCTGATCTCGGTTTGCCAATGGACATGGGAGCTTCCCCTTTTGACGTCCTTACTCCTTACCGAGGTTGGACTAAAGTAAGAAAGTCATGAGACAGCAATTACTTTACCGTTTAGGGTGGTGAAAATAACGCCATTCAGTAGTTGTCCGACAGCTCACTCTTCACGATGCCTATCCTCGAGCCCTGATTTGTCTCCTTGTCCATTCCTGCAACACCAAAGACTCCCGTCTGCCATGTGAAATGCACATGTCAAAACAGACAGACGCTGCCACAAAACCTCGAATCCCAACACAATACGGAATCTCTCCTCCATACAGCGTTGATATGATGACTAACACCTTGCCTGGTCTCTTCCCTTGAGGTGGAGGCTCAAGACCAATATCCATGTCAGAGAACATGCAACCGGCTTTCGAGCCTGATTTATTTTTGAGATAACTTCAGAGTTGGTATCCAATGGTATACCTAGGCACGCCTCCTTTGATACTGTGCCATGGTCACTGAACCACGTAAAAGTTGGGAGGACGACATCAAAGCCATACTGTAAGAATGCATCTCATCGGCCATATCCTAGTCTGAATCTCGCTCAACACAATGATAATAAATGTTGGGACTTTGACGCTGCTCTCCGTGATATAAGGACGGCAAAAGAGAAATATCGTCCGATATTTGACAAGACCACAATGAAACCACAATTGAAGCGCTAGGAAACGAAAAATGAGAAAAAACGGGACTATCATGTCAGATCCTCCTAGGGATTCTATATTAAAGTTCCACTAACCTTTAGAGATGTCCCATATTGCTCGTCCCCAAATAAGGGCCTCGAGAATTCAGATCCCCAAGTATGACTAGAGTTTAACCAACATCAACACCCACCTCCAAATATAACCACACTTAAATCACGGGATACTCCAAGACTTCAAGGAGTGCATCAAACTGAACCCACAATATCTGATTCTCCAATCTCGTAAATTCTAGCAGAATAGATATACACTTGCTTCCAACGCCCATTCCATGCATCTCGATATTTATACAAACACATCTCGGGCACTTTCCCAGCTTCCAGATCATCGTACTCATTTGGGCCACTTCTTCCATCCACGACCATGTCCTCTCTGTCCCAATCCTTAGCAAACTGTTTACAATTCCAGCACTCGGGCGAGGGGGAAGGGGGAAGCATACCTCTTTCCACGTCTGCACCATCTGCGGCATATCTAACATAGCCTGTCGTCTCTTCTCCAATCTGTCAAGTGCATCACATCAGTAAAATATCCTCCCATCCGCAGCCCTAAATCATCAAACATAAATAAATATAAACATACCTCCCCTTCAACGTCCTCTCGCTCTCCTTCCCCTTGACCTTCTGGCCAATTCCCGTCCCCTTAACTCTCAACCCATTCTCTGCCCTTCTCCGAATCCTCTCAGCCGTACTCTTCACACTAGGCGGCAACAGCTCCTCGATGCCATGGTTCCGTGCTAGTTTTACGAGATCGGCTTGTCGGCGCAGGGAGAAGGTTGGGTTGTGCCATTTGCCAGTTATGGCATGTTTGGTAGAGCGGAAGGGTGACGGGTAGGGTAGATCATTGTTGGTGCTTGGTTGCAGTTCGGAGCTGGATTCTAGGGGCGTGGTTGATGCATTGGGAGGCGTGGAGGTTTGCGGGAGGATGGCGGCAGGTGGGTATCGTGCGAGAAATTTCGTCAATCGAGGTGGTAGAGACTGTGCGAGCTTTATGTACTGGCTGCGCTGCATTGTGGCCATGGTGAAGGTGAAGCCTGGCTGTCTTTAGATGTTGAAGTCTTTAGAGGTTGTGCTTCTGATATGCGGCTGTCAAGTCTTGCGGTGGACTGAAAAAGCGGCACTAGCTTTTTTAATGTGTCAGGCAGAATTGAACATCAAATATTGGCTAAGTGCGTGCCGCTTTTTGGGGCAAGGCGGCGGTGGCTGTCAAATTTCTTAAAGCGCATTAGTCAGCTACTTTCAACCTTCTCCAGCCTGTCTTGTCGCATTGTTCAGCCTTGCTTCGGCTCTTCACCAACACCCATACTTATCGACCACCGCGTATCTCCAGCGCATCCTTTTTTAAATCTCCCACTCAACCTGGAGCATTCTCCTTTGATGATGTCTGGCCTAGAAAGCGATTATGCAGTACCCCCACCACCACCTCCGGAAGTTTCAGCCCCCCTCCTCCCAGCGATTTACCACCTCCACCACCGCCAGAAGAACCTATAATAAAGAAGGTAAAAGCAGGATGGGGCAGTGCGTCACGAGATCGTGGGCCCCTAAGTATCGAGGATATTCTAAAGAAGAAAAAAGAGGCCGATGAAGCGGCAGCAAAGGTAGGTTCTCCCCTCCTCAAACCCGCAGTTATTACTCTCATGTTTACACGCGTCTAGTATTAATTTTACATGTACTGATTTAATCTCGCAGCCCAAATTTCTATCCAAAGCTGTTCGGGAAAGGCTGGCCCTCGAGAAGAGAGCAAAGGAAGTTGAAGAACAGAAGCGCAAACTCGAGGCGGCGAGAACTCCTAACTTCCCACAACGGAATGGCTACGCCCCCCGGAATGGCGACCACCCAGAACAACGAGAGAGCAATGGTCGGGGCTCTTCATCTGTGCCTACGGGTCCCAGAGCTATGCGACACGGCGATCAACCATCCGGTCGAAATGGTCAGCAGGGCAGCTCAAATGGTGACAGACCAAGCGGTGATATGGAACCCCCTGTGGTCCCGGCGGGTTCGCAGGTCTCGAGCTGGATGGTGAACTCGGCTGGGAAGAAGCGCGCTACGAATGGCGGGGATGCACAGGATGCACAAGCTGCTCTCATTCGGACACGTTACATGGGCCCAGATACCAACAAGTCAACATTTTCGGCAAAGAACAAGCGCCGGCGGACGACCGAGAAGAAATTTAACTTTGACTGGAATGGTGATGAAGATACCTTCTCGGAAAATGACACGCTGTACTCCGCTCGAGCCGATGCGACTTTCTATGGAAGAGGAAGGCTTGGTGGATATGCGGAAGAGATCGGATCAGGAGGTGCAATCAAGTATGCTAAAGCACTGGAAGAACGTGATGCAGGAGCTGGCAAGGCACGGGCACAAGAAATGCTGGATATGGAACGACGAAGAAAAGAAGATGCATCGGGCAGAAACTCTCTCGACAAGCATTGGAGCGAGAAAAAGCTGGAGCATATGCGCGAACGAGACTGGCGTATTTTTAAAGAGGATTTCAATATCAGCACTAAAGGTGGAGCGATACCAAATCCTATGAGAAACTGGCAAGAGTCGAATCTTCCGAAACGTCTGATGGATGTTATTCAACAGGTTGGATACGACGAGCCCTCAGCTGTGCAAAGAGCTGCCATACCTATTGCCTTACAGGCCAGGGACTTGATCGGTGTTGCTGTCACTGGTTCTGGTAAGACTGCTGCATTCTTACTTCCTCTACTGGTCTACATATCTGAATTGCCACCTCTGAACGAATTCACGAAGAACGATGGACCCTATGCAATCATCTTAGCACCTACCCGTGAATTGGCTCAACAAATCGAGGTCGAAGCTCGGAAGTTTGCGACTCCTCTCGGCTTTACTTGTGTCAGTATCGTCGGTGGTCATTCAATCGAGGAACAGTCCTACAATTTGCGAAATGGTGCCGAGATCATTATCGCGACTCCAGGTCGTTTGGTAGATTGTATTGAAAGACGGGTGCTAGTTTTGGGACAGTGCTGTTATGTCATTATGGACGAGGCTGATCGTATGATCGATCTTGGCTTCGAGGAATCTGTCAACAAGATCCTTGATGCGCTCCCCGTTGGCAATGAGAAGCCTGATACAGATGATGCAGAGGACCCTCAAGCAATGAGTCGACATCTAGGTGGGAAGGATAGGTATCGACAGACCATGATGTACACGGCCACTATGCCGTCTGCCGTGGAGAAGATAGCGAAGAAATATCTGAGACGACCAGCAATCGTCACCATTGGTAACATTGGAGAGGCTGTAGAGACTGTCGAGCAACGTGTCGAATTCGTTTCCGGGGAGGATAAGAGGAAGAAGCGCCTGAACGAGATCCTTGCGTCTGGAGAGTTCCAGCCACCTATCATTGTGTTTGTCAATATCAAGCGAAATTGTGATGCTGTGGCTCGAGATATCAAGCAAATGGGCTTTTCATCAGTCACTTTGCATGGTAGCAAGACACAAGACCAGCGTGAGGCTGCTCTGGCGTCCGTCCGGTCTGGAGCGACAAATGTTCTGGTTGCCACCGATCTCGCAGGAAGAGGTATCGATGTACCAGACGTCAGTCTTGTGGTCAACTTCAACATGGCAACCAATATCGAGAGTTACACGCATCGTATCGGTCGTACAGGTCGTGCCGGCAAGAGTGGTGTTGCCATCACTTTCTTGGGCAAAGAGGATGCAGACAACATGTATGACTTGAAGCAAATGTTGACGAAGAGCTCAATCTCCCGCGTCCCGGAAGAACTTCGAAAACACGAGGCTGCGCAGCAGAAATCTACTAGGAGCGGAGGAGGGCAGAAGAAGATCGAGGAGAGTAGTGGTATCGCGGGAAAGATAGGGGGTTGGTAATGGGGCGCGTACTGGACAGAAGAAGTGTAAAATTTACACTCGATGTGAAACATTAAAGATCGGCGCTGCTTCATGTGTCAATTATATAGCTTAAAAAATTAAGAACTTAATAGGACTCTCACACGCATAGAAGTCGTGATTTAAATATTCACTTCATAGTCCAATTAAATATAGTCTAAGATTCAGGGCGTGTATAACTGTATAACTTCTTTTAGAGTTCACTATGCCTAGCTATCAAACAACAAAACCAAGGCAAGTCTATCCCCTGAACTATCCCAAATACTTCGACAAGGAATAGCACCACTAAACCTCCGCGAGCTCTGGAGACCGTCGATAGAAACATCTAAACAGGAAGCATATTCCTCAATATCCGATGCAGAATTCAGACCCAGGGCTCCGAGCCCCTTGCTCAAGCTTTCGCGGACATCTGAACTACTACTCGAGTAATCGACCATGAGAACAGAACGCAATCGACCACCGAACCCGCATTGGTGAATTGTGCAACCCTCATCGCGGATTATGGGATATATCTATACAAGCAATGTTAGTAGATGTTTTAGATGAATGGAGTCATTGCTGGTGTATCGGATGGATGGATGGATAGATGGATATGAGCTTACCTGAATAAACCCACCCACAACCCCCAGATGAGCATGCCACTCGACCGCCGCCCCTCTCGGTAACTCCTCTACCTCCACCGCCCAGAAAGGAGGTGCGCCCTCAACTGCCCCTTTCACCATCTCCCAATCCGGTAATTCCCTCTTCGCATCCTCCTCTCCTCTCCTCTCCATCCCCGCGAAATGTTTTTCGACCCAGAGATCCCTATCTTCTTCCTCGTCCTCGTCCTCGTCACTCCCAGCTCTCTCGTGCAACAATTCCCACGCTCGACTAGCTAGTACTGCGCGCTGGGAATCTGAGGCGCGCGGTAGGAATGCAACGGCGCTTGTCCACCAGCTTACATGCATTTCTGTGCCGATGCGCCAGAGATGCTGGAGCGATAGGACGGCTTGTAAGGCGAAGCTCGAGGTGTTGGTATCGGTGCTGGGTGGTAGGGCCATGGTGTGCGGGATGAGCGGGATTTGGCCTGCGACGGATACGGTCCAGATGGTGGAGTTGGAGTTGGAGTTGGGCGACGGGATGGAGATTGCTTGGGAGTAAGGACCGATATTTGCGGGGGCCCAGTAGGAGCGTGACTGTACGTGCAGGGCTTTGCGTGCTGGTTCTTGGGGGCTGGGTCTGTGGAGGGTGAGGTGGATGGTTAGGTGGGTGGAGGGGGGGATGAGGGAGCCGCTGGAGATGGTTACGCGGGCTGGAGGGTTGGGGGTCGTGAAGAGGGTGCCATAGATCTGGTGGGCTGTTAGGGTGGGAAGAGGTTGTGTGGATAGGGAGGGGGTTTACCTTGTTCACAGCTGCGAAGTCGGCCATTGACCGGAGGATGATGACTGTGGAGACTATGTCTGAAGGTTGGAGAGAGGAGGTCTTGAGGTGTTGTCTGATTTCTGATACAAGACTTGCGGCCTCTTCGATTACTGAAAGCCCTTGTAACGTTTCTGTCGAAGTGGGCGTCCAGTGAATCAAGCTTTCTTGCTCTTTGAGAGTAGGAGACACTATATGAGGTTGTGCATTTGATATCGTCGTTGTCTTGGTCGATCCTACTGGGATCCGAGTGCCAGCACCCTCTAGGCCACTTTTGAGAACCTTGAGTACATTGCTGAACTTTGGAGAAAGAAGGCCTGGTATTCGGCAACCTTCCTCTGTAGTTTCCCCTGCTGTTTTCATAACAACTTTGGCTTTCAGAATCCGTAACCAGGCTGCACCTCCACCCTCTCTGACTATTCGCCTATCTTGCTCTTGGATTTCAATCCTTCCCTTGAACAGATTTCTAGGACCATCAATCACCATGGTCTCAAACTCGCCCCCTTCTCCAATGACAGCCCCATCCCCATCAGTTCCAAATCTCTTCACAGACCGCTCTACCCGTCTCATGACAGGCGCGCTTGCAACATTTTGCCAAAGAAAGCTCTCATCGAGGCCACCACTTGCCACTTTAATGAGTCTTGCATCAAGTCCAACAGATTCCATATCCTCCAAAAGTGACAGCTGGGACCCCGGAGGGAGAGTTGGGTACTTCCATAAGAATCCAAGGGGCGTGAGACCCAGTCGCAAGGCGACTGATTCGACTCGAGTCCGCTGGTAGGTTGACAGAATAGCGCCAGTGCTGATAGCATTTGCAGTTGGATGCTTAGCGATGATACTCTTCAGAAGAGGAACTAATGATTCGGTCTCATCTTCACTGTGGTCCAGCTCGCCCAACTCCGGCTCCGAGTTCGCCGTCGCACTATTCGCGAGCGTACCGACAGGGCTGTAACTAACAGCAGTCTGCACGGCAGTACCAACAATTGGTTGACGATACAGCGGGATCTGGAGCGCTTGTTCATAGAGCGGGATCACGGTGTGGCCGACAGTCTGGTACATAAAGCTATTGAGATCATGCTCGTCGTCGCTGTCTGCCTCGCCCGAAACTTCCCCCCGGCCTGACCCTGACCCAGAAGCTGGATATAAATTGCCCAAGGCGACGACTTTGTGTCCATTCTGAAGGCAATGCAAGATAGAAAAGAAGCTGTCTTTGCCCCCTGAAATAAGCGCAATGACATTAAGTGATTCGGTCATGCCGGACGCGAGGCTGTCAACTCAGCTCGGTCAGCTGAGTTTTCACGTGGATTGATTTGAGTTCTGTCCAAGGCTGAGATATAAAAATAGACCAAGATCATGTGGGGTTTTCCGTACGTGGCTTGATTTTTTCATCGTGGTGTTGTGGCTGAACATGTTTTTGAAGCTTCCGATAATCGTGAGAGCTGTCTCGCTAATTTATTGGAGTCCTTGAAATCAAAATATACCATATTACATCTAGGATAAGCGAGGGCATTATGAGAAGTAGTCTAAAAAGTCTACAGTCCATACATATATCGTACGGACGCTCATAATCCCAGCCGTTCCTTCATAAGTGTATATCATCAATCTCGGATATACCAACAAACCTACTTTTTTTTTGTCAAAATCAGAATAAAAAAGCAGCGAAATTGTTGACTATTATCAAAACTAATACTCGAGTAGAAGCTATAGATTTAGCAGGAGATCTACAGCGATTCCCAGCACCACCTCGATCTGTATTTAGAGGACAGAAATAGTCCAAGAATAACCGCCTCCGTCACCGTTATCAACGTCCAGTCCCCAATGTGACGATTACCCTCAGAGTACTACTCTGAGAGTAGACACTGATTGTCGCAGTGCCTTTGGGTTGGATATTGTGGAAGAAATGGCTGATGGTATGAATCAATCAGCTTGAAATACTGGGCGCTACCGCCCGCGAGGTTCTCTTCTGCTGGGCTTTATTTAACAATCTTGGACTTTGAGGCCTGGAAGATGGCTTGTATATCGGGGATATATTGTGGTGGCTGTCGAAGTATGTTTCCATATATATTTCTTATCAGCTCCCCGCCTTCTTATCGCAAGGCAAGGCAAGCAAGCCATTCTCTCATTGTCATCATAGTCTCGCAACTACCGCGAACGTAGATGCGAGCTCTGTCTTATCTTTCCGAGGTTTCAATAGTTGAAGAGGGTCTCATGTTGGAAAGGTACAACGAATCATAAGCTACAAGATACGACACAATCCATATCTACTTCGCTGATACCCACTAGTTCTACGGTAATAACAAATAACCACATGGCAATCATATTTGGGCCGTGCTATGTCCGTACACCACTCTTCTTCTTCATGGAATATGCCTGTTCTCCACGAGACTCTAGGACCCAGGTTTGGGGATCAGTGGCCGTGCATATATATCACCCCTGCGGCTTGTACAAAGTCTTGTTTGGTAGTGTAATGCAGTATAGAGAAGAAGATGGTATAACGCTATGGTCACTAGGGCAATTTTTACAATTTAAACCCTATAGGACTATGACTAGTATATAGTAAGACCTATACATAGCATTAGGTATAACTTTATATATAAAAAGTAGTAAGAGTGAGGTGGATGAAAACTCAAGGGGAGGGGGAGAGGTACTGGCGACCCGAAAGGTGCGCTAGACTAAAGGCAGACTCATTTGATAGGACTCTTAGTAATCACACTTCCGATTCCGTCTAATTAATTGGTCAAAAAGTGAAGCCCTTGTACCCAACAGAGCCTGGAGGGTCTATTAGGGCGATAGGGGTTGAGTCGAGTGGCCCGGGTGGGTCTAGGGGTAGCGGGAGGTGGGAGGTGGGAGGTGCCAAGCCAGGAAGTAGAGGATCCTTTTTTATAGGATTTCGTTGAATCGACTTCTGCTGGTACAATTACAACTGAATATAGGTAGAATGATTGATTGACAAAGTCGTGAGATATAAGATAAAGCTCATTCAGACGTGATGGCCAAATTGCTCCTGAAAATCCTATGTACCTTACATCGCTTCTCGAAGCTGTTAATGTAAGATTACCTTTCCTCTACGGAGGTTATTTGAAAGCACCTCCAAGGTTTAAGGTCTAAGATCACCGCCTCTAGCCCTGAGTATATTACGCTAGGACGTTGAGCTTGACGAAAACAACCTTACAATCTTGGTTTCCACAACTTTCTCCCACCTTTGCTAGACATGGGTGCCTGTGGTTGAGCGATACGCGCAGCATTGGGCGCGCAACCATGTGCGTTTCTTGTGGGGCGGAGTTGATCGTAGGCATTCTCAGAAGCGTGATTTTGACATTCTTGTCGATCTCTTGTCCTGCAAATAGCTTTCAATGCCGCTTATTTGTAGTTGATGGTTTATTGAAGTAGCATGTCCTTAAAATGCGAGGTGGAATCAAAAGATCTCGGACTGGATGTCCAACTTGTAAGGAAAGACGCGTAAGTAGGAACTACCAAATCGAAGTTGAATGCACACTGACAAAATGAAAATAGCTGAAATGCGATGAAACTACCCCAGCTTGTCAACGGTGCACGAAGAAAGGGCTGGTATGCAAAGGCTACAAGGACGTTGTCAGGTCCCCCAAGATTGCCAACCACTACTCGAGCCCGGAATCAACAACATTTGAGGCGCAAAAGAAGTCAAAGCCCTCGGGAAACAACATCGGATATCCAGCAGAAAATCAAAGAGAATGTGACACATGGGTTTTCTCTGCACCCTCTGAAGTTGATTTGATGACAAGTGATATCTCGTTTTTTGACGCGCCTATATACCCCACCGATGGACACGTTGAAGGCAGTGAAATAAGTCCTACAATTGATAGGCTCGACTGGACGGGAGTCCTGCCATCAGTGTACGATGCAAGATCTGAAATATTATTGAGAGGCACTTGCCAGCAGCCAAACTCAGATCTACAACGGAATCTGGAAAATACCGATCAAACCAAAGCGTCTCAATCCTATAAAAGGCCTCCAATACCACATGCGCTCGCAGACCAATCTTCTGTGCTAGTTGAATATTATTTCAAGAATGTTGCAAATCTGTTCTCGTGCTACGATGGCAAGATGAATCCGTTCCGGTCCAACGTCTCCCAGCTGTGGGGCTCGACCGCTTCCATCTTCTATACAGTCCAAAGCATGGCGGCTGCTTGCTTGATCGATGTAGTGCCAAGCCTCAGCGAGAAAGGCATTGAATTAAGAAGAAAAGCGGCTGCGGCAATGGAACTGGAGCTCAGCGTTCCGCAGCCACATGCCGGAGCTGTACTAGCTCTGATAATGTTAGGTCTTACGGCGTCCTGGCACAACTCGCATGATCTCGGGCGCGCAGAGTTAGAGAGAGCGCACATAGCTTTTAACGCCATGAAAATGGAGAGGACGAGGACTCTGAAAAGTTCCGCAGGAGAGGACCGGAATATCGAATTCTTCCACAAGGCTTTGTTGTACTGGGAAATGCTCCTTTCATATGTGGTTGATGATCAGACCGAAAGACTGGACACACATGAAGCTGTTTCTAAAATCTCTCTTATCGAGGCCGAAGCTCCTCAAGTAAGACTGCCACACCCGTGGACAGGTGTTGCTTGCGAGGCGCAGAGGCTCGTGTTCAAAGTCGGCAGATTGCTGAGACAGTTGAGACGGTGCTCACGTCGAGGCTCGGCGACCTCTGATATGGTGAATGAAGACCGCAAGGAGCAACTGAGGGAGGCCGTAGATCTGATGAATAGACTCCACGACTTGAGGTTTCCGAACGTTGATACTATTGTCGACCCCAGCGATACGGAGACGCCTGTCGAACATTTCCTTAAGATTGCAGACTGTTATCGAGATATAGGACTGCTGCAACTCTGCCGTGGTTTTCCAGAGCTGCTCCAATCATCTGACGTCTCTAAGCTCTCCGCACAATCCAAAAAGTTGAACTCGAACAACCTCCAGTCATGGCTAGCCACGAACGTAATTAGCCTACTGAAATCTATACCCATCACGTCCGGGACACGCTGTGTTCAGCCTTTTCTCCTCGTTGCAGTTTCAAGCGAGCTCCAAATCCCTATTTCATCAAAGTCAATCGCGTCGGACTACTCTTCGACGGCAGTCTGCAGCGCTGATGAGGTCCCCGACATGTCTCCCGGGCCAATAGACATTTTTGAGGCCCGCAAGTTCGTTATGAGCAGGATGTCTCTCTTCCAACACACCTTGCCAGCAAAACCCATCCGACAAATGTTACAAGTGATGGAAGAAACGTGGAAGATAATGGACGAAGGGAACTCGCCGGTCAATTGGCTAGATATCATGATACAACATGGATGGGAAACAATTATGGGATGATGAATGTAGCTCACGATTCAACACGTTCTCCTAGAAGTTGAGTATTGTGACTGGTACTGTAGTCTTCTGGTGAAATGAAAGAAAGACAGAAAAAGAACGATATCAAACCAAGTTGTCTCGATCACGTGAGTGTATAAATATCTAGCCTTAATCTAAGGATCCACCTACCTCCAAACTTCAACTTCACGATTAACGAATCACCCCTCACCCCTCACCCCGCACCCCGTACCCCAACACCCCACATGCCCGCCTCTGTTACATCGAGGGTCATATCTCTCAATGCGCCTTAAGCCCCTGCTTCTCTACCATGGCCCAGTAAGAAACGGCACTAGCCTTGCGAAGCTTCTTCCCGAACACAATAAACACCAGCGGCATCCCCCAGAAAAACATGCCAATGAAGCCAAGAGCGATGTAGGTATTCTGCACGCCCGTAGCCGTGATCCATGGCGTTACTCCATAACTGAACGCGAAACCCATCGAGTTGCGGATCAGGATCATCGTCACCAGCGCATCTCCCGCCACCTCCTTGTGCGTGTCGATGATGTAGTTGATGGCAATTGCAGCGCCGATAGGGAAAGTGCCTACAACCATTGCAAGCCCAAAAGCAAGTCCGACCCAGTGTATTCCATGCGCAGCACCGACCCCGAAAAGGATACAACCTGCAGGATGTATTATGAACGGAACAAGAGCCAGCCACAAACGGAACTCAGGTTCGAAGATGCCCCCATTTCTCCTCGCCTTCCACAGCGCGATCTTGTCGCCAAGAGTACCTGCAAAGACACAACCTACCAAGCATCCAATGAATGGGGCTATAAACAAAACGCCGATAGATTCGGTTGAGAAGTTATATGGCGGGGCAGCGACGACAAGCGCGATCGTGGCGTTCACAACGTTGAACCAAGAGAGCACAGCGCCCACCAGCACTGCCGACATGGCAATGACTGGGAAACGGACTAAAGTGAATGGCAACCATACTGATCGCAAGGCATTGTTTGGCTGGCCTGGTTTACGTGCGCCCCAGACCTTCAGCTTTTGCGTATATGACTTTTTGGGTGAGATTCCACCAATTTCTGCCCGTGTTGATGCAACAGGGGTCGATATCTTCTCTTCAGTTTCGGAATTATCTAAAGCCTTGGTGGTATTCGTTGGGGTGTTGTCGGCTTCATCGAAATCCAGTGCTTCGTCTTGCGTGGGTTCGCGATAGAACATGGTTTCCTCCATCAGGAAGATTGCTGCTAAAAGGCATCCCCCGGCAATGATAGAGACGATGAATTGGATCCACTGCCAGCCTAGATTTGTGGCAATGAAGCCCGTCGGAATACCACCCAGGAATGGACTACCATAGAGGATACAACAATACATCCCTACCCAGAAACCTCGCTCGTGCGCAAAGTAAACGTCGGAGATACAAACTTCGATCAGAGTTTCAATTGGCCCATAAAAGGCGCCAATCAAGAGTCGGTTGGCATACCATTCTCCAGATGAAGAGACATACGCAGTCCAAACTGAGCAGGCTAGCATGCCAACGGCCCCTACAAGAATAACCGGACGTCGTCCGTATGACAGGCCCAACGGCTGCCATAAAAGATTGGACCATCCATAAAACAAATACTACTCGCGGATACCATGTCAGCTCTTAAAGTTTCTATCTACTAGGGAGATATTGCTTGGTAGAAGAATATTTGACTAACCTGAACACCAACACCAGAGTTCAGCGTTGCGAGCGGAATGCCCGTGTCCTTCTCAATATCCAGTAGTGAGACAGACAACAGCGTGGTCATAAAACAACTAAATCGAGTTAGTTCTCGTTCATTGTAAGCTTATAGTCTCTGGTAAGGGAATTCTGACCCTGAAAGGACGGCGAGGAGCATCAAGTCAACAGAAAGTAACTTTCGCGGCCGGGTCCAATTGAGCGGATCGTCATGTTCATTCGTGGGTTGCGGCAGAAGAACGATGTCTTTTTCTCCACCTTCCTCATGTCTGACGTTAAGCGTCCCAGCCAGATCTACCAAATGGACAGTTCCAGGAAGGACATCACTGTGTAGATGGTGTGCCATGACGAGTGATTTATTCTTAGGGAAATATCTTGCCAAGTGATTGAGAGAAGTTATAACTTGGGAAGGCTTCTATATACCCCACTCTGCTATTGAGAGCTGCTCCTTATCACCTTGACTTTCATATCTATTTGGACAGTATTGAACAGCGTATCTTATCTCAGTCTTCTCAAAACTAACGATCCCCCAAATGCTTCCTTTTCGAGCTTTTCCGTTATCATCTCGCAATCACAAATGATCAGACGTCCACAAAATCTCAAGGCTAAGGACGAACTGACCCTACAAAGCTACCAGACACAATGCTTGGAGCGGAAGCTCAATTGCCATCGGTGCTGTAGGGCTGCTCAACCGGTCTTGGGTGGAGCCGCTTGGAATCTCGCATATACGCCCCGCATTATAGACGCTATTGACAATCTTTCCGAGTCTCACTCGGATCGCTCAAGGGATCGCCAGCCGTGTTTGTTACGATAATGATAAGCAAAAAAGGGAAGGTTCCCCAGAAGTTTGTTATGTTGGTGCCAGGATGCCCCGCAATGTGTGAGGTATAAACATCTCTCCAGGTCCATGTCAAGCTGCAAGCACCTTTAATCATTATTCTCGCTGCATCATGGCTACCAGCTACATCAACGGAAATGTCTATACGGTTGACCCCAACATTCCAATTGCGGAGGCCTTCGTCGTCAATGAAGATGGCACTTTTGGGGCTGTTGGATCGACGACCGACATAGAAAAGCTGGGCAACAAAGTCGTCGACCTTAAAGGCCAGTTCGTGATGCCTGGAATGCACGATGCCCATTCACATGTCTTACTTGCTGCCGACGAGCAGCTCTTCCAAGCAAAGCTTGGCGGTACCGGTTGCTCACCTGAGGAGAGTGTGAAAAAGCTGAAGTCTTATGCTGGGGGTTGCCAGCATCTTGAAACGGTCGGTAACTGGCTCATTGGCCATTTCTACCATTACGCACACTTCGAGAACCGAAAGCCTGATCGAAAATTCCTCGATGATGCCTTTGGTGATCAGCCAGTCGTTATTCGCGAATACACAGGACACAATATATTCGCCAATACGGCAGCACTCAAAGCCGCCGGATACAAAGAGGACGATAAGGACCCTTGGGATGGATACTATGTTCGTCGTGATGATGGGACCATCACTGGGGAACTAGTTGAAGGCGCTGCAAAGCGGATGTTTGCCGCAATTCCAAAAGGGTCGCCTGAACATCACTTGGAAGCACTCGAGTTTGGTGTCAAAATGGAAAACAGATTCGGCTTCACATCTGTACAGGAGGCTTCCGCCAATGGCATTTATCTCGAGGCCGCAAAGAAGCTCGACGAGATGGGAAAACTTTCAGTTCATATGGACGCGCATGTGGTGTTCTGGGGAGCTGCCTTTAGCGGTGAAGTTCCGGAAACACTTATCGACAGTATCAACAGTGCCTACCGCTACGAGACCAAACATTTCAACCCCAACTTCGTCAAGTTCTGGCTTGACGGCGTTCCATGGCCTCCTCATCTAACCCACTGCGGACTCACACACGACAACAAGCCTGATTACGAGAAGATCCTAGTGCCTCAAGATACCTTCGTCGACGCCATTGAGCGCTTTGATAAAGAGGGTCGCACATGTAAGGTACACTGCTGCGGGCAGGGTTCTGCGCGCTTCGCGCTTGACTGCTTCGCGGCTATGCGCAAACGCCGCCCCAAAGGGCCCCGCCATGAACTCGCACATAATATGGATGTATCCGCCGAAGATTTCCCTCGCTACAAGGAGTTGAGAATTACGGCGGAAATGTCGCCAGCGATCTGGCATGAGTCGGCCTTCCAACCAGAAACGAATCCGTTGTCAGTGTACCCATTTACCGGATTGCAAGCCGCTGGGGCTCTCATGACTATTGGTTCTGACTGGGTATTTGCGCCCGAGACCCCAAATTGTTTCCCGGGGCTCCAAGCACTGCTGCAGGGGCGTAAGGGATGGGAGATGAAGATCGAGCAAATCATTCAGATCATGACTATGGATGGCGCGTTGGCTGTTGGGAGGGCCGAGATTGAAGGGAGTATCACACCGGGCAAGTTGGCGAACTTCATTGTTCTGGACAGAGATATCCTAAAGGTGGAAGATATCAGCACCACTTTAGTGCTCAAGACTTACTTCGAGGGTGTTGAGGTTTACGATTATGAGAGCGATGAGTTGAAGCATTTCCAAGGAAGGCCCGGTTGATGATTTACCGCGAGGCAAATAAGTAACGAGCTTCGGTCCAACTACTAGGGTGCAGTCACCTCTCAATGAATTTTTGTAGTTGAATATGGAAACGCAATGGTTTTCTAGCTCCAGATAGTATTCACCAGAATCAAAATATTTCAATAATGGTAGTATTGATTAAGTACAGGCGCTCCTCTGCAAAAGCAGTGCGAATTCAAATGCAAAAAAAGTTAGTTAGGACAAACACAGAGTAGTTGTTGGGAAAGAAACGAAGAGGAAATTCAGAGAATAGAACTAAAGAACGAGGCTGAGGCAGCTAACAGGAGGGCCAACTTTGCTAATGCCAAAAGAGGTCGCGCGCGGCGATGGCATGAGGAAGGGAACGATCAGTAGTTGCCGCAATAGCGAATGAACCTATCGCCGCTGGCGTATGTCGTAGAGCATTAAAACATAAATAGCTGCATCTTTGGCTGTTGCGAAGGTTTCATCTTACCTACCTAGGTATGCAATAGAGATGAGTTGGCCACGCAGGTATGGCACAAGAATCCATTGATTTGAACGTAGTGAGGAATCATATTTGAGCATTTGTTTATACAATAGGCAGCTGGTGTACATTCGTGACCAGCACGTTCTGAGCAGTAGGACGTTGAAAAAGGTGATGGAATTGCAAGGCGAAGATGACGTGCGAAACGGTTGTCCAGCTTCCGTTCGCAATAGTATTACAACGAATGTAAAGAAATAAAACATGAACCCATCCTCCAAATACCGATACATGCCCTCCGCCTTTTCTCCATTTGGTTCTGTCATGACGCTAAAACGAACAAAAATTCTTGAATGAAATTTAATACAGGAAACGGAAATCTTCGTGGCAGGAAAACACACAAAGGACTTTTTATTTCAAAACCCCCATCCATCATGACAGCATGAGTTGGCCGCGAGGCCTTCTATCCCAAGAGACCATCCGAGTAAAGGAAGAGCAAGTCCACTAAGCAATTAAGACTTTTTTTTTGGGTTCGTGATATTCATACCAAGTAGTGGGGAGGTAATTGTCCGCCGACTACTTGGGGTATTGGTAGAACAAGCAGGCAACTTATTCAGAGCGCTTGCGCTTCTTGCGGGACTGGCTGTCTGTCCCACTGCTTCCACCTTCCGAGGAGTGTTCACTGTCACTGCCAGAAGCAGCGGCAGCGACGTTGAAGAGAACACTACCCAGGCTGTGAATGTGTTCGCCGTCACCAGAATCCATATGTTCCGAAGGGAGTTCACCCTCTTCCAACACGCCCATAACGATGGCTCCACTACCGTGGGTACGAGCATGCTGGGCAAGGTTGTCACTGCGAGAAAATTTCTTCCCGCACTCGTGGCATTCGAATGGCTTGTCTTCGGTGTGGAGGGATCGGTAGTGTCTCTTGAGGTGTTCTTGACGTCTGAATCGACGGTTGCAGATCTCGCAGACGAAAGTCTTAGATGGATCTTCGGTCAATGATTGTTTACGGCCTCGGCGGTTGACAGGAGCTTGCGTAGGAGTGGCACCAGACTCGGACCCCATGACACTGTTGGTGGCATGTTGTTCCGAGGAGCCCGACTGGCTTGGAGCACTGTTGTTTTGCTGACCTTCAGCAGTGCTCTCTTGAGCTGGAGCTCCAGAAGCGGAGTCCATTGGGACGGTGTATTTGCGGGATCTGACAAGGTTGTCGAATTCTGTGCTGTCCTCGTCGTCGTCACGGCAAGCCTTCTTAGATCTCTTGGATCGCTTTTCCTTCTTTTCCTTCTTGACTTCGGTCTCTGATCCGGACGCGGGTGGGCTAGGGAGACAAGCGACAGCAAATTGCTCTAAGTGCTCGAATTCCTCAAAGTCCTCGAACTCGTCCTCGCTGATGAAGGGACCGTTGTCAATTGAGACTAAATCGGAGCCGGAGTTGGTGCGCTGTCTCTTGCTGCCAAGGAATTGGACGTTGTCGGTGGCTGGGAAATTCACCAATCCATTAACAAAGTCTTCCTCCGAGTCGAGGTCCGACAAATGGTCGAATGTGGGGAGTCCGTGGTGGGATGGAGCAGTGAAGCTGAGGTTCTGATTCTGGTTTGTGTCTTGGATCTCGGGCACCTGGTTGTTGTATGTTTCTCCTCCCAGCATGTATCGGTGTTCTTCGTCGTCGCCGGCGCAGAGAGTAGGGAGCGGTGGAAATTCGACAGCAGTCTTGGCCAAAATTGGATTGGATGAAAGAGCGGCAGTGTTCGATGAAGAAACTGAGGTGCCAGAAGTGACCGTCAAATTGCGCGGGTCGCAGAAGTCGAAGTCTTGTTCCGAGATGACAGATCGCGGATAAGGGGAAGGGCTGGGAGATGCAAGTGAGGGACAGGATGTCGCAGGTTGCAAATCATTAGCGCTTCCAAATGTCATAAGCGAATTTGGGTGGATGAACACTATAACGCGGGAAACGAGTCAGTCTCAGCCGTAAGTAAGTAGCAACATGACACGAAACAAATATCCATCTATACATCAACTTGTTACGCCCTACTCCTACTCTGGTCTGCCACACTATCGCCTGATGCCGCCTTTTCTTGTAATATGGCTAGCTGCAAGCGCACGCATACAATAGTAAATTTCATTCGACGTACCTGGAGTCATTGGCGGGGAGCCGCATCGAGTCCATTCATTGCCAGCTAGGTTCTCGGACTGCACTTCGCCCTCACAACCTTCCTTGACCCCCTCAAACCCCTTCAGGCCGCAGAAGCTGGTGTTCAATGGTGTTGGCAAAACATCACAGCTCGTCGGGCTGCTGATGGCACTTCCAGACGCAGACAAAGGGGGTGTCGACGGGTAGTAGTACATGTCGTTAGCTTCGGACTCCATCATCAAGTGTGGTGCGTGTTCCTGGATCAAAATTGTCGGCTTTTGGTACATCGGCCGGGGAGAGGCTAGTGGTGTCATGTTGGCAGCATAATTAGTGCTGAACACGGGCTGCATAGGTGCTTGCGAGCACGATGAGTTTGGCCTCGAGTAGATTGGCGTCGAAGGCATCTGGTACATGTGTGGGTGGTAGATTGGTGCCTGAATGTTGCTTGGCTGCTGAGAGAAATGCCCATGCTGACGGTTGTCCGGCTTCGGATCAGGATTGTAGTAGAAGAAAGGTGACGGTCCCATTGCTTGTGCGTGGGCATATGAAGAGTCCATGGTCAAGTGTCTAGAAACTGAGTCAGTTGCATTCTTTACTTTCGAGGCATTCTTCCGAGTCGAAAGTCAGGGCTTGTTTGCAGACGTACACTAAGACTTTTCAATTACAAGTGTTCGAATTCGTTGATTAGGTTTCGAAACAAGTATGATGCTGTTGTATGAGGGCGGACAGGTCGGGCGGATCGACGGTCGAAGTGAGCAAAAAGTATGATACAGTAGGGAGAGACTGGACAACAGTTTTGGGGGTTCCAAAGACTGTCTAATAGGTGTAATGTTGAGTTTGATTATACATTCATTCGCCGAGTGGGAGTGAGGCCGGCAAAGTGGTTCGTGGTGAGTCGTTGTAGTATTATCGATGTTTCGTTAGGATGCAGAAAGACGGCAAGGTTCCAAAGGAAGGTACGGAAGAAATTCGAGAAGGCTATGAGAGAGGAGCACAAGTCGAAGATATTCCAAAGAGAGGCGATGTACAAAAGGGAAACTGGTTGTCGGTATAAGAAGAAGGCTTGGTGATGATGGAAGAAAAAGAGCAAGCGAGCGTTGTGACGGGGACCCTGCAAATAAAGTAACCATCGAGGAGATCAGACTGTGATAAAAGGCAAGATAGGCAGGCCGGACAGAAATGGTTAGGTCTCAGAGGCACTGGGAGGCGTGGTCAATGGGTGGGCCAGGAACCAGAAAAGGCGCCGTGCTGAGTGGGTGAGTCTGCATCCAGACCCATGTCTGGGGGAGCCGGCAGCATGAGATGGGATGGATGGCCTACGATTTTCTAAATGTAGTCCAGCTGCTGGATGTGCAGAGTAGGGTGGATGTTCTACGATCCTTGTCTGAATGGTCCTTCGTGTTCGACGCTACGTCCCCTGTCGTCCCATACACAGACGCTGGATGCTCCGGGAGTTTAGGAGTGGTGGGAGGCCTAAAGGCCTGGTTGGACTGCCTAGCCGGGGATCACTACCTACCGTCAGAAAACACGAGCCACTCACCAATTGCTGCTGCTGCTGCTCCAAAGCGGCGAGCACTCTTGAATAAGCTGGACGTACACGAATGCATGGTGCAATAATGTGCATGCATAAGGCCGCGCGAGCTATCGAGTAGTTAGGCATTTACAAAGAAACAACACCACTCGGCTGAGCGCTAGCTAGAAAGATCGCACCACCACCAAAGGATATGTTTTAGATGGCTTATCTAGTTAGTCACGGCTGCTGCTGAACGAAATCGACAGTCTTCTTCTGAAAGCACGCACATACGCACGCACGCACGTCTTGCTAAGATAACTTATTAGGAACCGATGCGAGAGTGATCTGTGCTGGTGGATCAAGACGGGCGAGGGAAATTAATTCAAGCACTGCGAGAGTCATTCAGGCTCAACACCTCATGGGCAGCCGTGGCCTGCAATGCTAGCAAGTGGCAAAAGCATTTGCTGAGTTCTGATCCGACCAGTCAAAGGACCTAGAAACACGGTGAGCTTCATTATGAAGCTTCAATTATGGCTCAATTATTATAGCGGTGCGCGGTGGCTGCAGCGAGGATGATTCGACCGCCACATCGCCTGTTTATTCTCTCCCAGAGGCAGAGGTTCCAAATGTCCTACGATGCTCCGAGGTTTTACAATGATGGCTGCACAGCCCGGCGGAGCTCAGCTTAGCATTGCAATTTATAGCATGGGAGCATCTTCTTATCGGCATCATGCGAGCCTACAACGCAAGGAAGCAAGAAAGCATATATGGGGCTATTCCATGCTCGATTGTATCGGCGCCGACTAGATCGCAAAAAGTCAAAAGGTTCGACTTCCAACTCGATCTCATTCGATGTAATGCTGAACAGGAAACAATTCAAGCGAGACGCGAAACACGCCGACAACCACTCACACTACACAGCACCCCTCCTGCATGCACAATAAACCAGCCGTGAGTGACAGGAACACAGTGTGCACATGTGAGATGCAGCTATCCAAGTATTTTCTCTGTTGAGAAACGCCAGTACCTGAATAATTGGCTGCTGTGTGCTGTGTAGAAAGTTATTCTTTTCCTCCCGGAACGTTCCCATCGTTCAACCCCTCAAGCCCCTCCAAAACTATTGCACAGAGACTTAGGGTCTAAAGATAATGAATGAATGCCAACTCAGCCTTCAGTCAGCCCTTTGCTAATTGTTAGGTTCTTCCTGGGAAGTTTCCCCGCTTCGAAGCTGGGAAAATCAGCACGTACATGTGGGGAAAGTCAGGCATGAAACACGAAACTTTTGGGAATCCCCAGTCAATGACGAACCCAAACGTCTAGCTGGCCAGGACGAGTTGCATGCAGCAGATAAGGTGTAACCTCAATCCATCCTGTTGGCTGCTTTAGGATGTATACCACACTGATAAAGTCATGTATGTACAGTATGTCAGAACCGTTTTCAAGGCAGGTTTGAGGCACAAAGTTCGAGCTTCCCAAAAAAGGCTTCTGCAGGTACAAATGCAACCATGTCTTCCATCGGCGTAAGCGCTTTTTTACCTTCTGCTTTTCTTTTAGTCTTGGAGCAAAAGCAACCCTCAACAGCTTTGATGTCGATTAATTTAGTCATATAGCAAAGACCTTTAACTCAGATTCCCTAGCACGCGAGCACGCCAGCACGCTTAAATTTCTATCTACTCCGCAGAACAGAGACATGCATCTGATCGTTCCCGTCTTGTCTATAAGTTTTTGCGCCAGCGTTTGAGATGATCTCAAGTATGGGACCGAGACTTCTCCGTACTACTGTACTGAGGGGGGCTAAATAAAAAAGTCCACGACTCTACAAATACGGAGTAAGGCGTCAGCAGATGGCCCCCTTGTCAATGTGGGGTGGTGGCCTTCTTATCGATTACGATGATTACAGCCCGAGAGTTCGTTCCCGTCTGGTAGGGTCTCGGAGGCCATGGTGATCCGCCGGCGCTTCGACCCCAAAATGGGTACGAATACAGAGTGGTGTGGTATGTAGAGTCAGCATTACTGTTACTAACTATACGGAGGGTATGGTATCTACACTGTCCCAGAACATCAGCGTTTCGCAAAGTTCTGACAGCCTCTCGACCATAAATAACCCGTCACCCGCTGGCCATTGGCGCGCTCGTCGACAAAAAGTTTTTATTTTCTGCACGCTCGACTAAGTGTGCCACGCTTTTTGTGCTGATGGTGTCTGCTTGTTGGCGACTTGCATAAGAGCCTGCAGTCGTGCATTATTGGCTCATGCGAGATGTGCGAAGATGACCTAAAGATAGCCAGGTTCGTCCACGCTTGCTTCTTTACGCGCGCAGTCGCTGCTGCTTTTACTCGGACAGTGTCTGCTGGACGATCCACATATGATTGCACATCGTTGGTTGCATTAAGAGTACTTCGTACTCTGCATTAACGGTAGTTTTATCCTCATGCACCTGGCTTTATGAAGGCGGAAGGATTCCTTCGGTAGCCTTCCAGAACGAGAGCGCTTTGGGAGGCTGCTCCGTATGTAACGCCATCAGCCAAGGTGCTCGGCCAAAAGCCAGCGCTCAAGACCGCATGGAAAAAGAGCCAAGTGGTGTGGTCTTATCGGTCATGCATTGTGTCTCCACCAGCTTGCCACCAATCAGGGGTGGGTGCCTTGCTTCAACCTTGCCTTTAGTACTGCAGGTACGATGCAGGTACGAAAACGTTCGAGTTCGGTTGTTACATACGGAGTATGCAACTTTTGACACCAAACGTGCAGAGAGGAAAAACAACGTTCCAACAAATAGCCGTACGGCATGGGTATAGCAGAAGGAAAATGACGTCCCACTCTGCCCATGTTTCCTGTCATCCGAACTCTCAAGTCAACTTGGTCAAATCGCTTCTTCCCGTGTCGTATCGATTAGCCAGTACGGAGTTACTCCACCTGCCGAAGACTAGGGCCATTGCGGGCCTCGTCCGCCTGGGGGCATTATTTGAGCTGGAAGCCAACCAGCGTCCACAGACCAGACCGCCATCTAACCCCACTCGCGGATTCCGGATGATGCTCCCAAAATCACTCTTGGGGACGCTAGGTCATGCTCGAGGGTTCTTCCAGACGAGGAAAGACTTTTTGCAATGTGGCTTCTTTGAGCGAGCATATCCCGACAGACCGGATTTCTTGACCCAGATGTTCATCTGCATTTCTTTTAGCAGTTTGTTCCATTCTGCCGGTACTACTATACTATTTTATGCCCTCTCTATCATACAACTACTCCCACGTTGCTTCAAATTCAGACAATCTTTATGCTTCATTCCACGGATTTACTGTCTATAGCGTTACTATATCTCATCTTTCCTAGCGAATCACATTAGTAAGAGCGGCCCGCAAAGTTTGTAGTTGGTATTCGGCTTCATCATAGCTTCCAATAGTCTATTGGAGTAGCCAGTCTAGCTTGGGCATAAATTCCCCGTAATTGATACCGTACTTGTAAACTAGCCGACCGTAAGCCTCACTACGGGAGGGAGCTCTTAGGCCAATTACTACTGGAAGGAAATTCTCTTCCCCGGATTCTCAACTATTGGTCAATGATTAAGTAGTCGGTAATCGACAAGGTCTAAGCCTTGGCAATAGATTGCAGGATCTGGGCCTGTTGAGGAAATATAATGCTACAGTACCGTGGCGCTGCGACGGTCTTCAATTAGTTTTCAAAGGTTTTTGTAAGCGAAACTACTATGTTTCATACAAGTCCGTCGACTTTCAAGGCTCAAGCACACCTCTAAAGTTGAGGGAATTCAACTTTGAAGGCGATAACTGCGGTACAATTCCTACTCTTCAGCTAAATTGAGTTACACTTTTGCTGTTATTAACATCATGGATGTAAAATTTAGCTATCTTATAAAGGTGTGATATCAAAATTGCGATCTCCTAGACTCCTACCAAGTGGATCCGGGGCCGAAAAGAGCCACGTTCTGCCGTATAAGAACGTCAGAAGATCTATCCATAATCCAAACGCAATAAGTTGCCGATCACAGTTGCTTCCGGTTGGTATCTTTTTCGGCATTTACACTGAAGGCTTGGGGGCAAATTTCAACCGGAGAGCGATCCGCACCCCCCGTTAGGGCCGGACTTCATTCTGCATTTCGCCATGTCTCCGGCTATGGCTTGTCCCGGACCCTGATGATGGGTCTTCGAGAAGTTTCATGATACCGAAGGTGAAGGCCGGTCCAGTCCATGGTGGCAGCAGCGGCTGGGTCCGCTGGCCTGTTGTCGATTACTGTGGGGTTGGTGTTTCGATAGATTCGACAGTTCGTTGGGTTGCATGAATCGGTTGTCGATTCATGAGTCGTACTTCATGCATTGAAAATGTCAATGCTATCTTTATGGCTTCGTCTACGTGATATATGGAGGTACTGGAGGCGTCCTGCGAGTCTTGTCGTTGAGCACAGGACAAAGTTGTCTGTTCCACTGTTAATAAATCTCCTAGTTCAAAGCATTGAAGAACTTTGTTGAAGCTTTGATTAGATTTGATCAATATGCGGGAGATATAGAGTCAGACGAGTCGAGTGACATTCGATGATTTGAAACCCTTCAGTCGTCGTCCAACGTCTAGCAAGTCACGATGTGAGTCGATGTTGAGGATAAAAGCTTAAATAGTCCCACTGGTATACATACCAGCAGGTGACAAGAATCATCGCTACTCAAAAGTGACGACTGTGGTCAGGATCTAGAAATTGGAAATATTTGCAGCCTTATCCGAAACTTTTATCTCAATTTGTCCAATAGTTGATTAACAATCGTTTTCAGCCCAGAACTTGGGAGATTTACTATGAGAATGTTCAGAACCAGTCTTGACCTGTGCCGTTGTTTCTACAGAGTCCTTTTTCTCCCTGTGGACACTTGAATTACCAAAGTATTGGAAGTCGGCTGTGATTCAAGAGCAATTGCTTCACGGCAGGGGCTGAGGCTGTAAATGGAAATGAAGAGTAGATGGCCGACTATCATATCAAGTTGTCTTTCAATTCGGTATGACTGAGAATATACGAACTGTAGACTTTTCTTACAGGCTTGATCCTTAGGAGAACCTCGAAATTGGATACGAATGAAGCCTTGGAAAATAACAGGAGATAATTCACTTTCGTTCTATCCCCTCCTTTTCCCTCGTATAAACGAAGCGATCGTGACTTCAAACACTTTAGCAACACGTCATCCTAGCACATAACTCACGATCCTGCTTGAATCTCTTCCTCTCCTATGCTATCAACGGTAGACACATATTGCCCCTGAACCCGCAATCAAACATCTCACCATGTCAGTCAGTCTCATCTGTGGAGTCGCCGTCCTCTAGTCCCGCGTGGATGTCTCGGCAAGGCAAAACGGGCTTTCCACCGCAGAATACCTTATTTTCAGTCTTATTCCAATCCAAGACGAGTAGTTGAAGCGGGCGTCTTTTTCTTCGGGAGGAAAGGGCCACTGGTACTGATCTTCAAGATGGCGGTGAAATTTTGGCATCCCTCCCGTTACAGTACGTGGTCATCCCAGTTTGGCAATGGCAATGGCAACCCGCGTTCTGACTGAGCGATCCGTGATTCAGGTTAGGAACACGGTTGACATCGCCGTGCGTATTTGGCATGTGGAAGATGTATGTATGTATATATGTATATAGGAGAAACGAAATTGTAGTAAGAAAAATCTTAAGTGTGCTCCAATATTCGATGTGTATCTGCAGCATTAGTTGCATTTTTATTTTATGCAAGTTTCGTATTCCTTATATCGTTGCACATTCTCTCGATCTCGAAATCTTCGAGCCATTTTCAGACATCTCCAATTTGCGATGCTGAATCTCTTAGTTTCTCGGAGGGGCGCTGGGTGAGTTCCCGTTCCTACATGCCCGAAACAGGTTGAAACACTGCTTACGGCTTCGAAAGGCAGGAAGCCGAAACAGAGATCTTCATATCTATCCACTCGGATGGTGCTGGAACATGATTCGGAAAAGAAGTCTAGTCTGACCACTACGTTTGAACTTGGAGGCCATTTCGTTGGAATTGTTGACGAGTTAGCAATTTGAGATTTGAGATTATTGTGTATATAAATGTGTAAGGAGGCCTCTATAATACAATGACAAGGCAAAATCTCCAGATAAATACTAAGTAACATCCCATGTTATAAGTAGTAGTTCTAGTCTTTCTATAAGGTATACCTCGACTCGGGTTCTTATGTTTTCAAAGAGCAGTGCCAAAATCCCGATCCCTAGAGGCTCTTGAATCCCAAATTCCACTAGTACTTGAGGTGACTATTAAAACAAGTTTGGTATAAGGCATCTGCTAAGATAAGAAATCAAAACGAGTTCGTAGGAAATGATCACGCAGATATATCCCCTCTTCCTAAGGAGATGGTGGAATATTTTTTAGGACGGGATGAGACATGAGAGAACAGCCCGCCGCCACACCTGCTTACGACAAGCGATATGTAGGATTATACTACGATGTACAGTACCAGTCATTATTATGACCCTCCGGGCCCTTCCTATCTCGACGAATCTAAAGCACAGTCTAGTAATTACTAACCCCGAGAACAATGACTTTTCTTAGGTGTAAACTTGTTGCTAAAGAAGGCACCCCTCGTAGGGAAAACTGGGGGAGTAGAAAGGAAGGGAATAAAACATCTCATATACATATAGAATAGTAAAGGAAGCCTGAAATATAATCATTCCTAGCAGACTAGAATACGTTTGAAATTTTTACTATTACTCTTGAACTTTTTATCTTATTACAAGCTCTGGAATATGTAAACATTGTGGAACATCAAAACACTGCTTTAAACTACATTATATTGTACTTAAATTTAGAAGCGATGATTTCAATAGCCGCATCTATAGAAGATAAACAAAAGAGAAACGTGGATGTGTGATCCAGAGGTAGGGTAGGGGATGATCCCATTTAACCGAGATAATAACCAGGAGTCCAGCAGACCTGGAAAATCAATCTGGGGTATATTGAATCTCGACACAAGCTGTATTACTTACTACTAGCTTTTTGAAAAAGCCAAACGATCCCGCTATGCATTTTCCAATACAACGCTTAACGCCCCGCTTCCCAATCATACAAATACAACGCTGAGTAGGAGAACAAATGCGACTCATCATGCCATGGTATCGTAGGTTCCCAAGACCTTCGTCTAGAGATTCACATACACTGCAGCCCTTTATTTAGAGTCATCTGACTTAGTGACATGGTCCTCGGCGAGTTCTTTTCACCCTCGTTCATCACATCGCCGAAAGTGTCATCCCTGTAACTCGTTCTTTCCTCTTGCGGAGTCTGGAATGCTTCCGCCCCATAATCCTCTTCATCATCACTCGTATCGTCATCCTGCTCGAAGCTGGAGAACTCTCCGCCCGGGATATCAATTAGAGGATCTATTACGTGACTTGATTCCGGTGTGTGGTATGGACCTGGCGCCGATGTGCGCAAAGCTTGTAGTTGTTGTTGGAGACTACGGACAATGAGTTCGAGCTGCTGCCGCGCGACTTGCTCGGCTGCTATCATGTTGGTAAGAGCTGTGTAATGCTCAATGGTGAGGTATCCATCCTTTGGCATCGTGGGGGAGCTCGAGGGTATACCTCGAATTGTAGTAGACGTAGACAAAGGACGTGCGTTCCTATCCTTCGGATCTAGAGCTCCATTAGGACTTGGAAGTGCAAGGAAAGGTTCCAGCGAGTGTTGATAGGATGAATTGGTGTCAACCGTCGAAGGACGGCTATAGACAGGAGACCGGTTTCGAATGTTTTGCGATTCTTGGAGTGGCTGATATGTATCTCGCGGCCTGTCATGTTTTGGGAGTGAGTTTTCCGAGTTGTCGGTTCCTGGACGAGTGAAGGATTTGCTCTGAGTCCTGTTAGGGTTCCTTTTTGGCGGATCCTGGAGCTGCAGAGCATCAGGATGTGCGCCCCGGGACCGTAATATAATCCGCTCCACCTTCTGCAATCTCTCTTCTAGGCGTTGGACTCGGGTGTCAAGACTTGCAGCTTGAGTGATCTTCATCCCTGCCATCTCGCCCATTGGCCCAAAATTGAAAGGCTGAGGCTGCTCCTCAGGCTCGAGAATATATTCAGACTCATCCGCTAGCACAATTGGTTCCTCGGGTTCCGCTTTGTTCGACGACATGGGCGACAAGACTCCAGGGTCATAACTCTCTCTCCAATATCTGATTTCATCACTTCGGCGTCTTGCTTTTGCTGGCAAAGCGGAAGCTTTCCTCAATTCGCCAAGACTACGCGATCTTCTCTTGGGGTGGCTGCCGCTCGTGATAGCCATACCAATAGCTTCTTCAGCCTCTGCATCGGTGATGATTCTGCTACCTCGAACATGACTACTTGCAGGCCTTGGTGAGAGGCCAGTCCAGTCCGCACGACCCAGTGTTGTGTTTGGCGTCCACAATCGACTAAGTGTGGTGGCCCTTCGAGGCCTGGTCCGGCCATCTGCTTGTATCGACTCCCGATTGTGTTCGAGCGCGCCATTTTCGTGGAACTCTTCTAGTGCAGTCGAATGAGAACGTAATGCGCGGTTGTACTCATTGACAGGAAGGGAGGCAGAGCGCTTCTGAGGACTAGGCGTGCTCTTCGTATTTCTATTCAAAGCAGTTGGGTCCTTCTTCAGTTAGTCTCCGTAACCTTTATAAGATAATCGATACTTACACTGCGATGCTGATCACGAACTCCACTTGTACTTCGGCCATTCTCATGTATTGTGTTGCTACCACCCTTCCGCTTCTTCCCAAAAAGTTTCCCCAGTACTGATCTCAACGAGGACTTTTTTCTTTGAGGCTTCTCTGCACTTGTTCCTGAAGGTATACTCGCCGTGGAGTTTCGTAAAGCGTTTGGCTGAGTCGTACGCCGAGGCGGCTCCTCTGCTATGGGTTGAGCGGGAATGGAGGCAGACCGTGGCCGGTCTGTAAAACCGCTTGCAGCATTCCCGGTCTGTTGTAATGAATGGTCTGTAGCATTAGATCCTCTCCGGCCCAGTGATCGTTCGACACTTCCTGTCCCAACTGGGGTTGCGATTCCAGTCCCAGGGGTTCTGATAGGAAATTCATCGTCATCTGGTATGGGTATAGGCGGTCCAATTCTCCCTCTGATGGAACCTCCATTGTTTGCCCGCGTGCCCGGGGATCGGAATTTACTCATGGTGCCAATGTGCCAGCTTGGGATACACCATCAGATAGGGACCAGAAAAGCGCTTGAAGGAGATGCATCTGTTGGAGGGGTATCTAGCAAAGTAGCCGATCCCGATGCCTGCAAAGGCTGATGATCCGGAGAGCGACCCGTCGTTCTATATGGAAATCATCTTGAGGCATATAGACATATATGTGAAAGACGTGGCATATGTTGGTCCATTAAGCAAGCAAAGAATGGTCAGGCTAAGCGTGGGTGCATCACGTATCATAAGTCCTGCGAAGATTCGCAAGGAGAGACCCATGAAACGAGGAATGATAGCAGTTGTAGCAAGGGTTAAAATAGAATTAGGGGAGGACGGGAGATCAATCAAAAGCGAGATAGTGGCATACTGTACCTTACCCCTGCTGAGCCGCATTTGACATCGCGTTTGGACTTACCTTATTCTAGTCCATCCCATCCCACGGGATATTGTTCGTATGCTGCATGTGAACAGGGATTGATCTTTGCAGGCTCTCTTTGCAGAGCGTTGAGACGGCTCAATCAGTTCAGCCAGAATGGCCATCAACATCTGCATCCGAAACAAGCAGGAGAGCATCCCATTTGAGCCCTCACTCATACCTGAGGTGATTGGCAATAACAGCCTGTACCAACACCGGCCTAGCCTAGAGCTCGTGGAGCTCGGGCCAATCCAAGATCTCTCTCTCCCTTGACAAGCGCAAGCTCAAGCGACGAAAGGCCTTCGAGAACTTCATGCCATGCCTGCCAGCAAATGATCTGTGGGACCAGGCTAGGGCATGCGCAAACCTTGGACTTGCCTTGCCTATCGCTGCGATGGTGAAAATGCCCCTTCGGAGTTTGGAAGATGATTTGTTTGCTCGAGGATACGTACACGTACCTAGGACATGGTGGACTGCAGTGTGTGGTGCCAAGGAGGGAGTCTAATGCCTGGGCTGCATCTGCAGACTGCCCTCTTCAGTATGGATTAGACACAAAGAATCACCCCTCCGAACCGGTTTGAGCTACTCCGTACACCGTGCATATTGCGCGTCTGAGGGTAAGAGCGTCTTCATGGTTGGATATTGTACGGTACGGAGTAGGCTCCATGCGAATGGACAGTTGTGTGAAACGAGGAGCAGAAAAGCCAAGGGCAGACAGATGTCAAAGCACTCGCGGTGATATCTAGCCGGGTTAGCCTAAGTTTCTGCTGGGGACGGCGGTGCTATTAGCGTATCTTATTCGACACGCGCTTTGCACATTGCATTACAGTATTTTGCATTTGCATTTGCTTTTATACACAAGAAGCAATATACGGAAGTAAGTAATGCATGAATTTATAAATAGGTGATTCCTTCCTCCTGCCTTTTGCATATTTGACCAAGCAAGCGTCGGCTATTGTTGAGGCCCCTCCTAGAGCCCTTCTTCAGATTACGAACAAGTAGTCCGTATGAATGACAAATGTAATTGTTATTATCGATCCGCAGCAGATTTTTCTACCAAGCTCCGCTCTTAAACTGAAACAGACGAGATCCACTTCATAATTCGTCTGATGCAGAAAAATCCATGGATTCGGGTCGCATACGGAGGTCCGGAGCGGCTCTGAGTCTCTGGAGTAGAGTCCCCCACCCGCTTCCGGTTGCGTCAACTACCTAGGTATGTAATAATAGCAGGTAATAATACAGCATGGTTCTTTACCAAGTCGGCGTACTGTATTTTACGGATTCAAACCTCCCTAGAAATGCAAACATGATTCATTATTGCGCGTTCAACTCTGCAACTGAAGGATATCGTAAATCCGCATGCTCCTCCAAAAACTCCATCCACCGTTTGAGAAATTTATTATTGCTTCGTCTGCAACGATCACACAAATTTCGTTAGCATGTCGTCTCACTTGCTAATCATACTGTAGCAAGAAGACTAAGAAAAATATGGCGGCCGGAGATGGTCAGAACTCACTGCAGCGTCTCAGAGTCTCCGATAATAGTCAAGGAGCGCCTCGGCCTCGTCATAGCGACTGTTTCTGTATCAGCGTGCTGCTCATCAACACTGTACGGGATGGGGTCATGGAGGATTACCATTCAGTCTGCGTTTCTCTCCAAGAAAACCAACTTCGTGCTCCGAGTTACTTCTAACAAGGCTTACAATGACAGCCTAGGGATTTTCTCAGGTCAGTTTCTACTTGTGGCATTGCCTAAAAAAACATGTCGATGTTTCGACTGCTCCGTTTTGTTTCGAAGATGGAAATTTGTTTCACGCGGGGTGAGTGGCAGATTTTAAGGGGAAGAACTTCATACCTCTTTCTCACGTCCCTGAAATCCATCAACACTTCCCAATTCGATGCCCGGAAAAGCTTCCTTCATCGCCTTTGACATCAGCGCCAGCTATCGAGAAGTTAGCAAGTTTCAGGATCAACATCCGATGAACCTAAAGTCGAGCAGCGGTTCACAGATGATCTGCGAAAATACTTACTTGGGCATTATACGGAGTGATGACAGCAATATCAGACGGCTGTACCCCCGCAACGACCAGATTCTGCACATGATGCCTCACGAGAGCGGCTTCCATCTCATTGCTCTTACTGTCTCCCATCATGCCCTTACCGGCCTTCTTATCAACCTCTTCCTCTTCATTCTTCTCGGGGAAATCGCCGCCTTGAGTGTCGAAAAATATCAGCGGCTCATTGGTATCTTCAGTCTCCTCTACTTCGTATGGTAGGTCTTTCAGCAGCCTCGCTTTCACTGCTTCGGCTGCTACTAGTTTCGAATCGTAGAGTTCGTCGGAAGGGAATCTCATGATTTTCTCGTGCATGCGGTATTGTGTGGTTAACATTCGCTGCAAGCAGGGTCAGTGAGAAGTGTCGATAAACAGACAGAACCATTTCAGCATGCTGAAAAAGCGTGTCCAGTGGCAGGCAGCTCACCTTGATTCCAGGCCCATGAAGACCGAGTAGCCTATCAAACAAAGTTTTCTCCAGCGTCATGCCTTTAATAATTGCCTCCGTCTCCTTTACGTCTTTAGATCTAGGCTTGGTCTTTGAATTTAAAGACTTGATTGTAGGTGGCAATTGCAAGTGATCCCCAGCAAGAACCACCTTGCTCGCTCTCAAAAGAGGAACCCAACATTGAGCCTCCAGTGCCTGACTTGCCTCATCAATAATCACAACATCAAAGACTTCATCCCTCGTCTGGAAACCGCCTGCTCCATGAAGCGTCGCCAGCACAACTTTACTGCTTTGAATCAGACTCCCAATACACTTCTTCTCCCTCTCCTTAAACTCTTTCCGAAGTTCCTTGAGATCTCCATAAATAGCCTTGCGCTCTCGACCGCTTTTCGTCTTCTTGATCGAGGCTTGCTTCGTATCCATCTCCTTCCTGACATCTTTCACAATAGCAGCTGCATCTGATGTCTGCGTAAGGACGTCTAGAGAGTGATTGAGCACCGATGGGAGCAACCGAGCTGGATGGCCCAGGCGGACAATAGGAATTTTGTGGGGAGCAAGCCGTTCAACAATATTGTCTACTGAGATATTCGACGGCCCGCAAACCAGGACCCGGAGATTGCGCTTCAACATCTGTAATATGAGTTCAATCAAAGTATGAGTTTTGCCAGTCTGCAATTCTTGTTAGTGAGTGAGTTGTGAATTTAGGAGGGACTGCAAATACTCACACCAGGTGGCCCATGAATGAGAGCCATCTCCCGTGAAGCCAAAGCAAACTTAATAGCCTCCTTCTGACTCTCGTTCAAGCTCTCATCAACCCACTCAATCTCGCCCACCGCACTCTGATCCTCAGGCGACGGACTGGTAAGCCCGAACAGCACTCTCACGAAGCTGGAATACTCATCCGACTTCATCTTTAACAGCCGCCCCATCGTCTGATTCATCCTATCATGCCACACACATCAGGACTTTTCTAACCCCGACTCCCCTCCCTCAATCATACATAGAAAAAGTAGACCATCAGAACTCACCTCTTATAAGTAACATCATTCGCCAACTTAACAATCCACAGCCTCTTCGCCGGAACATCATCCCCATCCTCATCCCCATCCAACGCAACCCAAACAGCAGCGCGTCCCACCCTCGTCACCACCCCCCTAGACCCCTTCTCCTCCAACTCCCTCACCTCGCGCTTCTTCGCACTGCCCGCCGGCTGCTCAGCCACAACCACAATATCCCCCGTGCGGATGCCATGTTCCGGCAGCTCGCCTCCGGTAGCAGAGTCCGGGGTCAGTTCGACGACGGTCTTGCCGCCTAGACCCGTGCGCTGCGACGAGAGGGAGAGGTTGGTTATGGCGACGCCGGCGCGTTGGAGCGAGGTGGGGGATGTGGCGGTGATGAGGGAAGAGGTTTCTGCTAGCTCGGATTGGAGCTCTGCTTCTAGGAGAATGAGTTGGGTTGTGGCGAAGGAGGCTATGTCTACTGCTTCTTTGGGGGCCATGGCTTATGTATTTACGTCTGGATGGGTTTTGTCATGTGAGGTCGATGATGTTGAAGAAGGAAGGATTTCTCAAGGTTTGCAGCTTGCTTCACCAGCTTTGTTATACAGGTAGGCTATGACATAAAATAAACCTTGATTGAGGTAATTCTGATTCTATATTTTGATTGGGGTATATTTGATTGTGCAACTAGGCTATCTAAAAGCATTTTTATAGATGGAAAACTTTTAATGAAGATATTCTTCATCCCCGCTCAACCGGTCCTTGAACGCCTTGAAAATGCCCAGTCCTACATAGGTATACACTAATATAAGAAAATTATTTCTCAAAGGTCCCAGGTTCTACGACGATGACAACTACCAGCGAAGTAATCATCAACGCAAACGTAATTAGCGCAACCAAAGCTATACTCCCCCTGCTCGCCGGGAACTTGCCCCTTATAATCCAATGCTGCGACTCAAAGTACCTGTGGAACCCCACACCCAGCATCACGATGCTGATACCGAGGAACGTCGCACCGAGGGGCTTCCCCATCTGGCGAAGGCGGCTGTACGCGTTGCCAGTGCCTTCGGAACTGACATTGAGGCGGAATCTGGGGTAAGGTAAGGTAAGCGTCAGCAACGTGCGGCGCACATATGCAAACATCAAGATATAGAATCTACATGACATACAATTGAGTAACTGCTATTCCGATGGAAGCAAAAGCAAGGGATGTGCGCAGCCAGGCCAAGAAGGTTCTCTCTAGACACCCGAGTATCAATTAGCACAAGGCAACGTAAGGAGCGCACGCAGTATCGTACCAAGGGCCAAATGATCCCTTGCCACACTGCCCTTGTTCTCCAGCTCTATCGATCCATATTCCGAAAGCATTCTCGCCCACCAGGACTCGTGCTCATCTGCCGCGGTCTCCTCATGCTCGTCTCCGGGGGAATGTGTTCGCCCTGCCCTGCGTATGCTCGCTGTGCTCGGATGATTGGAACGCAGTGTCTTCGCTGGCTTCTGCTGGGTAGATTGGTAATTCATATTCCGATTGCCCGACCGCCTGACTATGTGTGTCTCCTCGTCCGCACTGCTCTCCGTCTCGGCAGTCCCATTCGTGCCCCCGCTTGCTCGCAATATATTTGTGCCTGGACTTGGTGGGGAAGTCCCCGAGTCACTCGAACTATCCATCATTATCTTTCGGGCTCGAGCTCCTTGTAGTATATCGTCGACACGTCCTTTGTGAGGCTTGGTCATATGTGTGGGTGAGTTTCGTAGCTTCGCGGGGTCGGGTTGCGCAGGCTCTGCGGGGGATTTTGCGGCCATGGTTCTATATACGCCTAGACAGGCTTGTCAATTACCTACTTACAGCGCCTTTTTACGCTGGTTGTGGTCCTTGCAATGATAAGTTGTCTGCAGCTCGCACGCCATTTCCTAAGCGTGGCCCAAAGGTCCAAAGGCGGGATGTGGGGTAGTTTGTGTGCTAGCTACCTACCTAGGCTATAGGTAGAGTAGATACGAAAAGCGGCACTTGTTATCTATCACCTTTTACACCTGATATCCCTTCAATCGACCGTTATTTACAGATTAAGTAAGCACTTTCACTTTTACCATCTTGTACTTTTTAGAATTTGATCATTCACCTCTGCAAACCGGTCTCAAGTATGTACAAGAATCAAAGTGAAGTAAACTAAGTCAAATCGCTATGCTCGTGAAGGAGATGTCACAACAGGGCGCACAACAAGGTGAAGCAAGTTTTGTGTACACACGAAGTTAGAGACGCAACATAATCTTGTGCTTGCAGATGAGGGAGAAAGAAGTATGGGTGCAACAGATCGAATGTCTCTCCTTTTCCTTGTCAGCTAGACTACCAAATTGGGTACCGCCCTTAAAGATCTACACCCTGCAGGCCAGCCACAAGCAAATCCATATTCGTATAGATATCGGCGCTTAGATGCATCGAGCGACAGAAATATGTATGCAAGGATAACTGCGCCGGCGGCATTTGAAGGCCGTAGAAATGGGGCTTTGCTGAGGGTCGCCTAGATGACCTTCGACGATATAGGCATGAATATAAGGGCAAAACCCAGATAACCAAAGAGTTCATCAATCGAAGGAGTCCGGCACCTCCATCTAGAGAAACATCCATCCACTAAGCACACCCCGTGCCTTCTCCCATGCACCAAGAAGTCTCTACCATCACTATCCACATCCTTGGAGCAATGTGAATGGAAAACACCCCAACCACCCACCCACAACACAATAAGACAACAAACATTAAGGACGTTTAATACAAAGGGAAAGAAGAGGTCCAAAGGTGTCGATAGACCAGAAGGCGAGAAGATCTAGACACTTCAGTCAAGTATTAATGACAATCATATCGTTGTTGGCGAGTATAGCAGAACCAACAGCAAGGTCCTTCGGAATGGGAGCGGAGGAAAGAAGTAACAGTCGTGATCGTTCCGGTGCGCGTGTAAAAAAAGCTATGCACCAAAAGACGTCCCAGTGGAGCCTAAACGCCTACGAGAACTTAACTACTATCGTCTTTCCCGAGACCTGGGGTTGTCTGTTAGCAAGGGGGAAATTTGACACCAGTGAGAAAACTTACAGTGCAACCTGTGTGGTCTGTGGGGTTACCGTTAATGTCGTAGAAAGTCTTGTTTTTATATTTGCATGGGCTTTCGGTACCATCGACAGTGAATGTCACGTCGTAGTCGAGAGTCCATGTTGTAAAGTCGCTAAGGGTTGGGTAATTTCCAAAGATGGAGAGGTAGGTCTGACCATCGGTTGCACCAGTACCCAAGTTGACGGGAGAGTAGTTGCCTAAACCACTTCCTGCCACATTCCACCAGCATGCTTCGCTTGGTCCACTGCCGGAAGGGTTAAGGTAGTATTGGGCTGATGTGCCTGCACCCTCCCAGCTGTAGTAATTCGCCTTATCGGGGTTGCACAGTTCAATACCCTTGTCCCCGTTGTTGAGAGACAAAGGAACGGTCTCTGCTTCAGTTCCGGGATAATCAGTACGGCAGACAGAGATAACGCTGCCTACGGTGCTCTCAACTGTCACGCCGCCAGCACCCGCAATGCAGAGCTGTTTGGTAGCGGTATTGGTGAGTTGAAGCTTTCCATTGCTGTCGCAGTAGAGACCTCCGACAGATTGCGCCGTGGAACCTTGGTTTTCTACTGGCCATTGGGACTTCTGGTAACCCGCAGGGCATGCATAGGAGCAGAAAGTGTTTTCCTGGCAGCTGCTTGGCGTTGAAATAAGGTCGATAAGTCCGCCAACAGAGCCCAATACACCACTGAAGTTAGGTGTGTGCTGAAGACCAGACCATCCTCCGTTGTTCATCCAGTCCAGTGCAACTGCACCATACTTAGAAGGGAATGTCGAACAGGATAGAGAACCGGATTCAAAATCTGGCCAAGAACCGGTGCTGCTGGAACTGCTAGATCCTGAAGATGTTGCCGAAGCGGACGCGGCCTTTGTAGTTGATGTCGCTGCTGATGATACAGACGATGTCTGTGCCGAGGATGTTGGTGCAACATACGCTGAGGACGATGTAGTTGGGGTACTCTTGGCTTTCTCGATGAATTCAGCGGCGTGGACAGAGCTTGGTGCTGCTACTGACGATGGTGTAGCTGATGCGATTGAAGCAGCTGGAGTTTCAACTGGAGCGACCGAGGCAATCGATGAGACCTGGCCATTGACAAGGACGTACTTTCCCGAGGCGATACCGGCCTCAACATCGGATCCGCTGATTGGGACACCATTGAGTACGAAGACTGTTTCGATGGCACCTGGAACGTTCACAGTAGCAACAGCATCGCGACCTTCGACGGGAGAACCACGTCGCTCATGGTGGTGGTGAGCGTGGTTGTGCGGTTGAGCTACCGCAATGGTTGCTGCGCTGAGCAGCGCAATTTGGGTGAACTTCATTGTGAAGAAGCGGATTCGTGATGAAGAATAACACTAAGACTTTATTTCAGTCTCTCAGAGACTCTCGGCAATATTATTGCGGAGTAGTATTCGATGGTGATTTGAAGAAGGTATTTTCGCGGTCGAGAACTGTAGAGGAGATTGTTAGCATTCCAATGGATAGCACCCTCTACGCAAGAAGCGGTGAATTTTGGACCATTCAATCCAAATCAGTGCAATGTCTACAAGGGCGAAGAGACTAATTTCTGGTCCCTCAACAAACTCAATAGAGGTACATACATTGAACTGGCGACCGTGTGGTTTTCGACAAAGTGACACGCGTTGTACAACGAAGGTGGGTGAGGCAGGTGTTGTTCGTAGGTAATAGGAGTTGGTGGTTGACAGGGATTGTTTGTTTGTTGATTGATTGATTAGGTCTCGTAAGCGGTGGTGGATAACGTCGCGGTTCCAAAAGAATGTGGTAGAGAGTCTTTATTAGACGTCTCAGAGTTGGGAGGGAATGCTGGGAAGGAAGGAAGAGAGAGAGATCGTGAATTGAGATTCGTGTTCAAGATTGTGGGTGGTAAAGAGGAGAAAGGGAAAACCTGGTGGAGACGAGCGAGGAAAAGGGAGAGATTGGATTGCCGTCGAGCAGGCGCGATGGGCGGCGGGGCTAGCCGTGTTGAGGCTAGAGGGGACGGAACCGAGAGTATTATGGGTCTTAAGAATGCGATGATTGGGCTGGGACGCGTCTTGGCAAATGATTCAATTGAGGGCGGGCTCTGGGCCGAGCAGGGAAGGGAGTGGAGTGGTGCCGGGATATCAGATGCAGGTGCAGTGCAAGTGCAGGGAAGGGGGCAGCTGTTGGTGGTGGCGGCTGCCCCTTTCGTGATGAACACGAACGAACGGTCTGGATTTCACTGCCGCACTGCTACTCTATATCTTGGCTTCTGCACTGATCTGAATGATGGGCAATTTAAAGCTTTGGAGAGAAGTAGATGGATGTTGACGTTAAAAGTTCAACAGAAAGTAGAGTAGTTGTAGTTCTTCCAGAATTCCTCTTTCTAGGGCCCCGCGGTTGTTCCTACGGTACCTAGAGTACCTACCTAATTGTTCCTTCCTTCCTGACGTACTGTAGCCGTGAGTTAATTTATCCTTCAAGCCAGACAGGGCTGAAGTCCAGGAGAAATAAATAAATAATATATATATATAT